TTTCATCATTTCTCGTATTTTTACGTGCCCCCTCAGACAGAATATTAAAAAAAATTTCTTCCAAGAGGGAGATGTACTTTTTTGGCTGAAAGATAAGATGTATTCAAAGCATTCACATATTATATATTTGTGCATTTAACATCAGTGTTCATATATGTCTCATATTGTGATACATAGTTTAGAATCATTTGTTTATCTTGTTATTCCATCAGGGGCCCTCCTGGGGATCTTTATGTATATCTTGATGTCGAAGAAATAGAAGGAATTCAAAGAGATGGCATAAATCTCTCCTCAACAGTTTCTATCTGCTATCTGGATGCCATATTGGGGGCTGTTGTTAAGGTATAGTTTGTATTTCTATTGAGCTTCCAGTTTAAAGGTATACTGTTTTTAATGCTTTGGAGTAGTAAAATCGTGAAGTATACATGCTATATGACTTTCAACATTTAGCTTTTCATTAAAGCTTACATCTCCATAACGTAATGCTCCTTCAAAACCACTGTCAGTATGACATGTGGAAGTGGCTATTATGTATCTACACTTTTGACTTGAGACCTAATAATTCCAGATTTTCCAATATGTCCTTTTGTCATTTCCTTCTCAGCTTTCAGAAGCTGGAATTCTATGTAATTTCTTTCAACCAACATCTTGAGTTCAGAGATTTAAAGGGCTTCCCTTAGTCTGGAATTCCCATTTTCCCCCTCTTTTTGCCCCCCTATTGCTCACCAGCACTTTTTGCATGATCAATTGATTTGAATTTCTGGCAGGTAAATACAGTCGAAGGGATTGCGACACTACAAATCCCACCAGGTACCCAACCTGGCGACATTCTTGTCCTGGCTAAAAAAGGAGCACCAAAGCTAAACAAACCATCAATACGTGGCGACCACATATTTACGATTAAAGTAACAATACCAAATCGTATCAGGTATACAGGTGTCTCTTTTTCTCGTTGTTTTCATTGTAACTGGTTAGCTGTAGCTGATAGTGTCACAGATTCATCTCTCCCCAGATATATGCAATGTTACAGATATCAACTATTCTAAGTGTTTAGTGTATGCTTTGTGGCAATATTTACTCTTCTAGCGGTAGAACTTCGTTATGAAATAAAAAGCCACGAACATGATTAAAGGATAAAAATTAAAAGAAACAGAAATATGGTAGTAGCTTCTGAATAAAAGGACTACATTTTTTCAAACAAACGATAAGAGAAAAGGGAGATGAACACTGTTGAGAGGAAGAGTGTCAGCTACCATCATACCTTCTCATGCTGTGGAAGCACATTCATGCAGACAAAAATGAGTTGTGTTTGGATGGGAGATAGAGAGTGAGAGACTGAGGGTGGCATTTTTGTTTGCTCAATGAAAAAAGCCTCACAAGTAATGCACATTGAAGAGATCCTTATGTTTCTTTTTTCTTGTAAAGTTGTAACCTCTAACTTAACGAACATTTTCATTGAAATCTTAACCATCGGATTGTTCGTTCCTTTATAGTGCCAATGAGCGGGAACTGCTTGAAGAGCTTGCTTTACTGAATAATACTACCACCAGACGTTCACGCACTCGCCCTAAAATGCAGCCAGCTAGTAAGTAATCATTTATCATCTGAGGATGTGTTCTCTGTCTGTGCATGTTGCAATCGGTGGATGTGTTCAAGTCCTTTCGTAAACCTTTTTCGAACTTTGAACTGGGGTGAATTTAATGTAACTAATCATCAGATTTGCATGACAGAACACCTTATATTGTTTCGGGTTCAGTGTTCAGATTTATCTGACTTGAATTTGTTCCTTTGCTTCTGTAGCAAATAATATAGAACCTGAGGTGGGAACGGTTGAGAAGAAAACAGATGAAGGAGAAGATCAAAATGACCCATGGAAGAAGTTAAAAGACTTTGCTGGGTATTAATCTCTCTCTCTCTCTCTCTCTCTCTCTCTCTCTCTCTCATTTCTTCCAACTACCGAGTATTAATACTACTTATTAAGGTCATTAACTACTGAGTGAAAATTTAAATCTATTTCCAGACTAGGCTAAAAAGATATATCCAAACATGTATAGTCTGCAATTGATCACAAGCTCTGGAGATGATATATATTCTGTTTTCATGTGTAGAGTATTCTGTTCTTCAGATGCATATTTCTGTGTCATTTACTTTTATCTTCTCCTCATTAATTAATGTACTCATCATGTGCAATGCAATTGACCAAACAAGTATTTGGAATACGCAGGTCTGTGGCAAATGGTGCTCTAAAATGGCTGAGAGACAACCTCTAGTCTGGTGTGTTTATGAGGTCCACTCCAAACTTACAGTCACCATTGACCAAAATTTGGCTCTAGATTTTCTTCTTTCTTCCAGAAAGGGTAGTGGATGGGCCGTGCCGTCAAACATTTCCGACGCCTTACCAAACTTGCCAGCAAGTGAAGACATTGAATGTGCGGTAGCAGAGGTTTTATTTGGTCTACCTGTAATTTAACATTTGTGAGATGATACAGAATTACCTGGCAGATGCATTTACTGATTTATCTCATGGAAGCAGCTGGTTAGAGGGGCACATGAATATTTGATTATTTAGTTAATGTATATCTCATTTTCAGAGCGGTTTATTGAATTTCTTGTGATAGTTATTTGTTGTTGGTGTATTACAATTAGTTGGTGAGGCTTTTTGTAAGCGTACCATTGGGAAAAGTACTGATGACTTCAAATCAATTATTATCACGATTTTGTTTTCATTAAATTGTAAGAGGAATGCTTTCCAGTCACACTGGGCGACTTGAAAAGTTTAATCTTTACAGTCTCCATTAGGAAAGTTTAATCTTTTTTTACAACTTGAATTCTCCTTTTTGCCCCTCTATAATGAAATTGAATACCGTAAAGGAAAATGCTAGGGAGAGCACATTTATACTTGATGGAAGTTGAGCTGTACACGTTTCAAAGAAGTTCTTAACCATATGGGTGAATTTTAAGGTATGCAAAGTAAAATTCACCAAAATGGTTAATAGCAGAGTATCAAAGTAGTTCTTAACCACTTGTTGATTTCAGCCCTTTATTTATTTATTTGTTTGGAGGATGCTTTGACCAAGCAAGAAGAAAAGAATAAGGGAACAAGGTAGGGGAAAGAAAAAGTAAGGAATTAAAAGAAAATGAAACAAACAAGTTAGGGAAGGGATAAATTCTGTTCTTGTTGATTGGCAAGTGTGTGTTTGTTGTTGTCGTGGTGCCTGAATTGCCTTACAAGCATTCTTCACCCTCAGCATTATAAAACTAGCTGGGGAGAAATGAGAATGCCTACGACAATTCCCAACACTACATACCTTGTTATCATTTATACATTAAAAGATTTCTTCCTTTCTCTTTCCCTTTTCCTTTTTCTTCCACTAGAAATCCAATTCTAGAACAAACAAATGGCTGAAGCACTCATTTCCGTGCTCATAGAACAATTGGCCTCAATCATCCAAAAACAAGTACAACAAGAGGTCAGACTAGTTGTGGGTGTTGAGAAAGAATTGGCAAAACTCACCAGCAATTTCAAAACTATTGAAGTTGTGCTCAAGAATGCAGAGGAGAGGCAGGTGAAGGAGGTGGACGTGAGACAATGGCTGGAAAGGTTGAAGGATGTATCCTACGAGATGGACGACCTGTTGGACGAGTGGAGTACTGAAATCCTAAAACAACAAATTCAGCAACAAGAAGAAGAAGCTGGTAATGCTGGTAGTACTAGTACTACCAAGAAGGTATGTTTCTGCATTCCTGCCCCTTGGTTTTGTTTTGGCCAAGTCAGTCAAGTAACTCTTCGTCTTGACATTGCTGTGAAGATAAAAGAACTAAATGAAAGATTAGCTCTGATTGCTAGTGAAAGACAAAACTTTAACTTGCAATACACGACAAGAGAAATTGAACAAATTGAACGACAAAAAAGTTCTTCTTTCGTTGATAAGACATTTGGTCGAGTCGACGAAAAGGACAAAGTAGTAGAAAAGTTGCTGAGTGGCAGTGGTCAAGGAGGGGCGACCTGCCTTGTCATCCCCATTACAGGGATGGGAGGGATTGGCAAGACAACTCTTGCCCAACTTGCCTATAATGATGAAAAGGTTCAAGCTCATTTCCACACTAGAATATGGGTTTGTGTCTCAGATCCTTTTGATGAGATCAAAATTGCCAAAGCCATCATTGAGGGCCTAAAAAAAGAGACCCCAGCTTCAAATGAGTTGCACACTCTAAAGTCCATTATACATGAGTCCGTTAAGGGCAAGAAGTTCCTTCTTGTCCTAGATGATGTGTGGAACCAAGACTATAGAAAGTGGGAACAATTAAAGCTACCTTTACAAAACGGGGCTGTGGGTAGTAGAATATTGGTGACCACACGAAAAGAGGAAGTTGCGAGGATGGTGGGAGCATCCACTGATATGGTCAATTTGGACGTGTTGAGTGAAGAAAATTGTTGGGCATTGTTCTATCACATTGCACTTTCTGATAGAGAAAAAAATGAGTCTAATGGGTTAGAATCTATTGGTAAACAAATTGTCAAAAAGTGTAAGGGTCTGCCCCTTGCTGCAAAGGCATTAGGTGGTCTCATGCGCTACAAGAAAACGAGGAAAGAATGGGAAGACGTTTTGAATAGTAAGATATGGGAGGTAGATGGGGTTGAGGAACAAGTTTTCCAACCACTGTTACTAAGTTATTATGATTTGGCCCCGACAATCAAACGTTGTCTTTTGTATTGTGTTATTTTCCCAAAAGATTATAACATTGTCAAAGATGAGTTGATTGAGTTGTGGATGTCACAAAATTATCTTAATTCAATTGGAAACAAAGAAAAAGAAGCGATAGGCGAAATGTACTTTGATAACTTAGTAATGAGATCTTTCTTTCAAGAATTTGAGAAAGATGGTCTTGGAAATATAACGGGGTGCAAGATGCATGATGTTGTGCATGACTTTCTACAATTTCTAACTAAGAATGAATGCTTTGTTTTTGAGGCTGAGGGTGGCAATAATAAGAGAATAATGGAGTTTGATGGTTATAACAAAGTTCGTCATTTGACATTAATGTTTGCACCCGAAGGTCCACTAATTCCAAGTTCCTTGTGCAATTGCAAGAATTTACGGACTCTTGCAACTTTTGATTCAAAGATTACTAATTTTGGTCGAGAGTTAATTTCACAAGTAAAATGCCTTAGAACGTTGAATTTGAGTCGTAACTCCTTGAAAGAAGTTCCAAATGAGGTTGGAGAATTGGCACATTTGAGGTACCTTGATTTGTCTGATAATGTACATTTGATGAAATTGCCAGACACCATGTGTAATTTAATCAATTTGCAAACCCTGAGACTCATTTGGTGCACTAATCTTGAAAGATTACCTGAAGGCATGGGAAAGCTGATTAACTTGCAGCATCTTCATGTCAAGTATTGTCCTAGTCTAAAGTTGCCCAAGGGGATTGCAAGGTTAACAAGTCTACGAAGGCTAGATGAAGTTTACATCCGTGGCAATGATGACGTTGATAACAACAAAGAAGCATTATTCGAGTTAAGTGATTTGAGAAACATGGACCAGCTTCGTGGGAGTTTCCGAATAGAATTTCTGGAGGATCTCAAGGACGCGAGGCAGGCCGAGCAAGCGCATTTGGTGAACAAAAATTGCCTTGTCAGTCTGGAATTCGAGTTCCCCCTAGCTGAGGAAACAGAGCAGCACATCGAGGAAGAAACAGTGAATGCCTTACAACCACATCCAAATCTGGAATCCTTATCTATCAAATTCTACAGTGGCACCAGACTTCGGCCCCATTGGATGACGTCGTTAAACAAATTGAGAAGCCTTACCCTTAAATATTGCAAGTTTGTTGAGTTTGTGCCTCCTTTGGGGAGATTGGAGTCCCTTGAAGTACTAATCATAGTCAATTGGGAAAGACTGAAAAAGGTAGGAGTTGAGTTTTTGGGAATAGATGGAACAATAGAAACGCAAACATCCTCATCACCACTTATTTTATTCCCAAGTTTGAAAAGACTTGAATTCAATGATATGCCCATGTGGGAAGAGTGGGAAGGAATGACAGGGTGGAGTGAAGAAGAGGATTCTCATAAGACAATTACAATAATGCCCTCCCTTTCTTCCTTACTAATTTATAATTGCGGAGTACTAAGAACGCTGCCCAACTTCTTACGAAATACACCACTGAAGGAGTTGGTCATCGATGAGGGCTTTCACTATCCAAAATCACCAGTTGCACAAGGTTGCCAAAAAGGCAGAGGAGAGTGGCCCAAGATTTCTCACATCCCAAACATCAAAGTTGGTTACGAATTTGTACAAAAAGACGGAGTTTACCAAATTGATGATGATGAGATGCCAAGTGCTGCTTCCACATCTTCTTCTGGTAATGTCTATTAAGATTTCATTTTGTTAATGTCTATCTATATTATTCATTTATCATCGCAAATTTTCTTATTTTCTTTATGTTTGTTTTTTTCTTTGGGAAATTCCAAACTGATGATGAAACAAACTTTTGAATTTGGCTTTAAAAAACCTCACATGCGGTGGGGGCAAAGTAAAGACAAATATAAAGTCGTTGGAGAATGTTTTATTTTTTTATATTTTGCAAATATTTTTTAAGAGGATATATAATATAATATAATATATATTTTTTAATGGTTTGAAATTCATTGGGTTATGTAGGTATTAAAAAATTTCTCAAAAATTGTCTCGGGCTAGGCCTGGCCCTACCTGGTCAGGCCTAGATCCGTGCCAACGACCCCCATTTCCAAATTCCAGGTATGTACTCTACTGCTTATACGACGAATGTTGTGTAGAAATTTATCTGTCATCTACACTTACTGAAGCTGAAGAAGATTTTGATTTTCTTATGTCAGCAGTTGAAGGTATTTTCTGGCATGCAAAGAGGGAAGTCTCATTTGAATTCACACTTTGAAGATAATCTTGTTGGAAGCGTGTATGTTGTCCAATGCAGTAGGGAAAATAATTATAATATCTTATATGTATGTACAGGCAATAATTCAATCATGAACTCTGTTGAGATGCTTTATTATATTATGATCTATGTTGAGATGTTGTTATATATCACTCTCATCTGAAATATCAAATAATATGTACAGTATACCCAATAATTCAATCATCAACTCTTTATAGTCTAAACTACTCAAATTTATGAGCAGAGGAATCGAACTCGGGCTCAAAGGGTTGACACATTTTTCAAGGTCGACTGGCTACATCTGGCTAATGCTACTAGCTTTTATATCTGATTTTCATGTGTTAAACATTAATGCACACTTGTGTGATAAAACTAGAAAATTCTAGAACAATTGAGAGAATTACTAAATAAAAGTTGGTTGACTCTCACTAGAACCATTCTAATAATCATCTAATGTGATTGTAACTAGAGAATTCTAGAATTATAGGACAACTAGTGTCTACTTTAGACAGTCGATTACTATGCACAACCGACTTGTCCAGTAATTTGCCGACTTAGATAGTCGGTTTAGCACCGACTTGTCCATTCAAGTAAAACTACTTTGTTACTCTTTCAAAAGTTCTCTATTCCAAGTTAAGTTGTTGTCCTAAACACTAAACCAACCATTTCCTAAACCTCTTTTCCCATAAACTAATATCATGTAATATGGGATTTTCTTATCTCAGCAGCTGAAGATTTTCACGGCAGTTGAATTTTCTTTCAAGTAGACCAAATGGATGTGGAAGAAATCACTGGAATTCTTGTAGCAGCTCCACAAAATTAATTATAAATACATAATTGATACTCAAACCATTAACTTAGACAACTCAAGCATGTTAGAATATTGGTTTGTGAAACATGTTTCTTTCAGTCTGGCTGGGCAAGAGATAACAAATCAGCGAATTTGACGTCACCTATAAAAGAAAACAAACTTACTATTTTTATAAACGGCTCTAATTTATTTTCACACATGCAAGTAAAATAGACTGTTAGGAGGGAACCAAAAGTTCACATGAAAATTTATTCAACTATAATGCATGTTATACTAAATATATTGGATGCGAGATCTTGTGTTTGATTTTCTCATGCTCACATGCCGCTTATATTAAAAAGAAAAAACTTATGACAATTTCAGTCCCAACCCATCTCAAGTTTCATTTTGGTCCGTAAATTTCCATAGCAAGCATTTTCGTAATCATACTTTTTTAATGCGTTCATTTCAGTTTGGTACCCTAAAGTTGAAAAAAAACTTACTTACACCGGGGATACCACTATGGAGCTTATCCTGAGCCAATCACCCATTGCCATGTATTTTAACTTTCTGACATGGCAATGCGTGATAGGCTTGCAATACCGCCGTTACATGTAAGTTCTCCTAAAGTTGTACTCTTAAGGCATGTTCGTCCCTACGTTTTCAATATTAACAATGTGGTACGCGACTTAAAAATTTGTTGCAATGTTATGTCATTACTTTCACCGCTCTTGCTTTGTACTAGTCCCTGGTTGTATATGCTCTGCTTTTACTAAAATGAAGTAAAAAATTTACAAATTTATAAATAAACCCAATCCTAGACATGTATTTATAAAAAAACTCAAACACTATTTAAACATAGAAACACACCCAAAATCAACAATTGTATATTTTTTGGGTGTGTTTATCAATGGATTTTGAGTGTGTGTAATGATGGATTTTGGGTGTATTTCTAAAGTGTTTTGGTTGTTGGGTTTTTTTATAATTTCAACCCCCATTTTGGGTGTTTTAGTGAAACTCCCAGGACCAAGAGAGTAATAATAAATGAAGTCAGCAGGCAAGAAATTCAAGCTGTCTTTACCAAAGCAGAGGAGCTGAGAGCTCTTCATGCTGCTTTGGTGCAAGGAAGCAGCCCTGCAAGCAAATCTCAGATTCCCTTCTTCCCCTGCCTCACGCCCTGCTTCTCAGTTCTCTGCTCATTACTTTATGATGTTGTTTCAGTTCCCAATTATAGTTTTGACCTCTACCTAGTATGTGAGCTTTCAATATTTTTTATTCCATCACTAATTAATTTTTTTTAATTTTTTTTATGGATATAATATTTCTCCAGAAATTTTTTATTGTTTACCAATTAAGGCATTTTCCCCCTTATTTAAGTTAGTTCTTTGGTTTGAAGTTTGCTATTTCCAGTGAAATCAAATACATAATGTATAATTTATGGTTTCTGAAATACTGGAAAGGTTCACTAAATTTTGAGATATTATAGCTGAGGATCATAAATCTGTGACTCTCATGTGCAAACCAAATCACCATAACATAATGCTCCTTCAAAACTACTGTGAGTATGACATGTGGATGTGGCTATTGTGCATCTACACTTTTGAGACCTAATAATTTCAGGTTTTCCATTGTCCTTTTGCCATTTTCTTCTCAGCTTTCAGCAGCTGGAATTCTATTTAATTTCTTTATAGTGCCAATGAGCGTGAACTGCTTGAAGAGCTTGCTCTCTCTCTCTCTCTCTCTCTCTCTCTCTCTCTCTCTCTCTCTCTCTCTCCCATTTCATAGAAAATTTGGTTGCTACCAAATTTCCTCGAGCTATTCTGTTTTAAACCTGGCATGTCCGAACATGTATAGTCTGCAATTGATCACAAGCTCTGGAGATGATATATATTCTGTTTTCATGTGTAGAATATTCTGTTCTTCAGATGCATTACTTTTATCTTCTCTTCATTAATTAATGCACTCATCTTGTGCAATGCAATTGACCAAACAAGTTTTTCGAATACGCAGGTCCGTTGCAAACGGTGCTTTAAAATGGCTGAGAGATGACCTCTAGTCTGGTGTGTTTATGAGGTCTCTCTGAGAGTTGTGATTGTAATTGAGAAAACAAAGCAAGCCATAGCCATGGATGATATCTCACCACAGCTTCCGCAGTACATATTTAATTTAGGCATAGCAACCTTGGTTTCGCTAATATCTTTCTCACTTTTGTATGCAGCCCCTAGACTCATATCCATTTTGGGTTACTTTTGGCCTCTCTTTGCCTCAACAACTCTGTTCTTGGTGGGAATAATCACCTTTGGTTATATTTCTCAGCTGTCAACAGAATCACAAGAAAGCTTAGAAAGCTAATCTCATCACAACAATACATGTACTGATATCTCTATATTCAAATTCCCATTATAAATCATAATCTCAGCACAAGATGGCAAAAAGAAGAAAGGCAGATCATTAGAGTCCCTGCAACGGGAAAAAAAAAAGCCAAAAAACTGAAAGCCCAAAGATGAAGAAAAAAGCAATTAAGGGAATGCTCCAAGTAGAATTAGATGCCTAATTTTATACAACTTACAGCAAACAACAGAGATAGACATGACTTGGCCCTTCTAAAAGATTAATCAAATGAGATCAAATCAAACGAAGGATAACCAATTCATGTCCAAAAGATTAATCAAAATTCCACTTCCCTTTTTCCTTTGGCATCACAGAAACATGACGCTGGGAGAGAATCTCAGCATTTAAAAAAATTGGGTTTTCCCCAGACAGCACGAGTGTGTTCTGAGTTCTCCTCAGTCTTCATCATCGAATTATGTTCCCCATCTTCTCCTCCTCCTGTAAACAATAAAACAATTAAACATCAGCGACAGAGAGTGTAAAATAATATCATAAACTGCTAAAAAAATAACATAAAACAGCAGACAAAGGATTCACCTTTTGCTCTTTTCCTTGATTTCACAGAAACAGCAGATAATTGACAAACTATTTTAAAGCTATTTTCTTTGAGAGTTTCTATTGCTATCAGTGAATCCGACCCTTACATAAAAAACATAGAAGGGATCAAACGGTTATGCTACCATATACGCATATACAGGCATAGATACTATATTTCAGTTCATCTAAACAGTCAAAGAAAGAAAACAGAAGCCAAACCAGTCACCCGAACTCTCCAACAGCTCAAATACCGACTCGTCCAACTCAGTCTCACCCGCAGAGTTCGTCCGGCCCTGAATCAACTCAAACTCGGCGGTCTCGATCAAAGGCAGAGTCTTTTCTTCGGTCATCGAATCGGACGATGAAGACGTGGCTCGGGTGTGAGGAGACAACCACTTGGCCTTGATCTACTTTGTTTGCGACATCCACCCACTGCCCTGCACTGGTGGATCTAGGTGGTGGGTATGGGGGGAGGTTCGGATCGGGGTTGGGGAAGACGATATGGGGGTGGCGTTTTCTGGGTTTGGTTTGATTGTTCTTGTTCTTGTTTTTACTTTTTTCATTTTTTTGTTATTTATTCTTTAAGATATATTTGTTCTTGTTCTTGTTTTTTTGTTCTAATTTTTTTGGTGCGTTGGGAGGTTGCAATGGGGTGGAATTGGGTTTGGCTGGGTTCGTTTTTTATTTTTATTTTTTCAATTTGAAGATTTTATTATACTAATTTTTAAAACTAGCCCCTTATTTTATATTTTATTTTTAGTATGAAGAAAAGATAATATATGTAGTTATGTTTCATAAAAGTAGGATCTATTATCTGATTTTGTTTTTAATTTTAAATTTTTTAATATGAAAAAATATAAATTTACCGTATTATCATCATTTAATTAATAATTTCAATTCTTAATGTTTAAATTAACCAAGGGTATTTTCTGGTATTTTGAATGTTTCATGATTCTCAGCCTTTTGCTTTATATATATATAGATGAATGAATTTTTTTAAATAATTTGTTGACCGAAATACCCCTCCACAACTAACAGAAGTTAAAAAAATGAGTCCCACTTTTGACACGTCAGCATTTAATAGATTTACTAACAGTTTGGCTAACGGAGGGGACAGATTGTAGTGTTTTCACAACGTTGAGTATGTACTAGTAAATGTTCCCAAAATCAGGTGTGAACTCATAAATGACCCTATAGGTTGGGGGGTTTACTGTAGTTTGTCTTTAAAAAAATTTGATAGAAATTAATGATTGTCCTTAAATTCCTTTAAATTGAAATTACAAGGATAAAATTGACCAAATTGAAACGACATGAACCAAAGTGGTAAAAAAGGCAAACTACAGGGACCAAAAGTGACGTTTTGCCTTTTCTAAACTCATGTCTATGGGTTAAGAAGCCCTAGACCTCACATATACTTTTAGCTACTTGTCGATCTCATAGCTTCACTATAGGTTAGAAGATAATAAGGGTCGTTCGGTATCCTACTTGAACCCAACTTTACAAACTCAAAAACATATTTGAAGTCCAAAACTTAAAGAAACCCGTTTGGTAGGCCCATTTTTAAACCCATAACCAAAACAAACTCAAAAACACCCACATTATTGAAAAAAAAATAAAAAATGAGGTTTTATAATTTTATTTTTTCTCTCTCTCTCTCTCTCTCTCTCCTCCCTCTCCCGTCTTCTAGGGGAAACCCTCAAAAGTTTTGATTAGAGAAAGTAATTTTCTAGGTTCTGGGTTGACGCCGTTGTTTGCAGCCCCGTCAAGGTCTCATTCGTCCACTACTGGACCCAAAATTGAACAATCTTTTCTCATGTTTTGGGTTTCTATTGAAATCTCACAAATTTTTCTTTCATCTTTTAATTTCAATTTGTGAATCTAGGGTTTCTGATTTTAATTTTAATTTTTTATATCTTAAAAATAGTTTGGTGTTCAATACCAAATGAGTTTTTAGATCTTAAAATTACTATTTGAAAACTCATCTTTTTAGAAAAAATTATAGTTTTTGAGTTTCTTTTTTGAGTAAGATACCAAACATGGCCTAAGCCTTTTATTTATTTAATATTTTGAATACGAGGCTGTTTGGAGGATTCTTCGACCAAGCAAACAATAAAATAATATGGGAATAAGCCTTGTATTTATTTAATTTTTTGAATAAGAGGTTGTGATGCCTGAATTAAAAGTAAAAGTAAGGAATTAGAAGAAAAGAAACAAACAAGTTAAGGAAGGGATAAATTCTATTTTTCTTGACTGGCAAGTGTGTGTTTGTTGTTGTCGTGATGCCAGAATTGCCTTACAAGCATTCTTAAGCTTCAACATTATAAAACTAGCTGGGTAGAAATGAGAATGCCTACAACACTTCCCAACACTACGTACCTTGTTATCATTTGCATTAAAAGATTTCTTCCATTTCCTCTTTTCCTTTTTCTTCCACTAGAAATCCATTTCTAGAGCAAACAAATGGCTGAAGCACTCATTTCCGTGCTCCTACAACAGTTGGCCTCAATCATCCAAAAACAAGTAGATCAAGAGGTCAGACTAATTGTGGATGTTAAGAAAGAAGTGGCAAAACTCACCCGCAATTTCAAAGCTATTCAAGTTGTGCTCGAGAATGCAGAGGAAAGGCAAATAAAGGAGGTGGACGTGAGATACTGGCTAGACAGTTTGAAGGATGTATCCTACGAGATGGACGACGTGTTGGACGAGTGGAGTACTGAAATCCTGAAACAACAAATTCTTAAACAAGAAGTTGGCAATGCTGGTAGTACTAGTACTACCAAGAAGGTATGTTTCTGCATTCCTGCCGCTTGGTTTTGTTTTGGCCATCAAGTAGTTCTTCGTCGTGACATTGCTAGGAAGACAAAAGAACTAGATGAAAGATTAGCTCAGATTGCTAGTGAAAGACAAAACTATAACTTTCAACCCCCGAAAAGAGGAATTGAACAAATTGAACAACGAAAAAGTTCTTCTTTCGTTGATCAGACATTTGGTCGTGAAGTTGAAAAGGACATATTAGTAAAAAAGTTGCTGAGTGAGAGTGGTCAAGCAAGGCCAAACTTCCTTGTCATCCCAATTGTAGGGATGGGAGGAATTGGTAAGACAACTCTTGCCCAACTTGCATATAATGATGAAAGGGTTCAAGCCTATTTCGACAATAGAATATGGGTTTGTGTCTCAGATCCTTTTGATGAGATCAAAATTGCGAAAGCCATCATTGATGTTCTGAAAATGGGGACAAATACCCCAGCTTCAAATGAGTTGCAAACACTCTTGGAAATTATACTTGAGTGCGTTAAGGGCAAGAAATTCCTTCTTGTCCTAGATGATGTGTGGAACGACGAGGATAGAAAGTGGGAACCATTAAAGCTAGCTTTACAAAATGGGGCTGTGGGTACTAGAATATTGGTGACCACAAGAAAGGAGGATGTTGCTATGATGATGGGAGCATCTGTTGATACGGTCAATTTGAAGGAGTTGAGTGATGAAAACTGTTGGAAATTGTTCTGTCACGTAGCATTGGGTGATAGGGAAATAAGTGAATATAGAACATTTGAAGTCATTGGTAAAGAAATTGTGAAAAAGTGTAAGGGCCTGCCCCTTGTTGCAAAGACATTGGGTGGTCTCATGCGCCACAAGAAAACGAGGAAAGAATGGGAAGACGTTTTGAAAAGTAAGACATGGGAGTTAGATGTGGTTGAGAAACAAGTTTTCCAACCGTTGTTGCTAAGTTATTATGATTTGGCCTCGACTGTCAAATGTTGTCTTTTATATTGTGTTATTTTCCCAAAAGGTTATTTGATTGAAAAAGATAACTTGATTGAGTTATGGATGTCACAAAATTATCTTAATTTAATTGGAAATAAAGAAAAAGAAGAGGTGGGCGAAAAGTACTTTAATGACTTAGTAATGCGCTCTTTCTTCCAAGAATTTGAGAAAGATGATATTGGAAATATAACCCGGTGCAAGATGCATGATGTTGTGCATGACTTTCTACAATTTCTAACTAAGAATGAATGCTTTGTTTTGGAGGGTAAGGGTGGCAATAAGAGAATAATGGAGTTTAATGGAGAAAATAAGGCTCGTCATTTGACATTAATGTTTGCACCCGAAGGTGCATTTCCGAGTTCCTTGTACAGCTGCAAGAATTTACGGACTCTAGCAACTTTTGATTCAAATATTAGTACATTTGGTCGAGAGTTAATTTCGCAGCTAAAATGCCTTAGAACATTGAACCTGAGTTTTAACTCCATAAAAGAAGTTCCGAATGAGGTTGGAGAATTGGCACATTTGAGGTACTTTGATTTGTCGTATAATGAAGATTTGATGAAATTGCCAGACAGCGTGTGTAATTTAATGAATTTGCAAACCTTGAGACTCATTTGGTGCAGAACACTAGAAAGATTACCGGAAGGCATGGGAAAGCTGATTAACTTGCAGCATCTTTATGTCATGGGTTGTTTTCGTCTAAAGTTGCCCAAGGCGATTGCGACGTTAACAAGTCTACGAACGCTAGATCAAGTTCGCATCCTTGACGTTGATAACAACAAGGAAGCATTATTCGAGTTAAGTGATTTGAGAGAATTGGACCAGCTTCGTGGTAGTTTCCGAATAGAATTTCTGGAGGATTTGAAGGACGCGAGGCAGGCCGAGCAAGCGCATTTGGTGAACAAAAATTGTCTTGTCAGTCTGGAATTGCGCTTCTTCTTTGGTGGAACAAATGAGATTCCTCTTGTGGCAAGCCAGGAAGAAACACTGAATGCCTTACAACCACCTCCAAATCTGGAATCCTTCTCTATCTATCACTACAGTGGCACCACACTCCGGCCCCATTGGATGACGTCGTTAAACAAATTGAGAATCCTTACCCTCGGATATTTTTGGTATGTTGAGTTTTTGCCTCCTTTGGGGAGATTGGAGTCCCTTGAAGTATTGGAGATACAAGATTGGCTGAGCTTGAAAAAGGTGGGGGTTGAGTTTTTGGGAATAGAAACGCAAACATCGTCGTCGTCATCCTCATCATCTCCAATGATTTTATTCCCAAATTTGAAAAAACTTGTATTTGAGTATTTGCCCATGTGGGAAGAGTGGGAAGGAATGGCAGGGTGGAGTGAAGAAGATGATTCTCAGAAGACAATTACAATAATGCCCCGCCTTTCTTCCTTACAATTTGGTTATTGCCGTTTGCTTAAAACACTGCCCAACTTCTTACGAAATACACCGCTTAAGGAGCTTGTCATCGGTTTCTACTGTCGGATTCTTGCACAAGGTTGCCAAAAAGGCAGAGGAGGAAGTGAGTGGCCCAAGATTTCTCACATCCCAAACATCAAAGTCTGGATCGGACAAAGTAGCGAATTTGTACAAAAAGACGGAGTTTGGATCGGACAACAACAAACTGATGATGATGAGACGCCAAGTGTCGCTTCCACCTCTTCTTCTGGTAATTATTATTCATTTATCATCACAAAATTTCTTCTTTTCTTTATGTGTTTTTTTTTCTTTGGGAAATTCCATGTCAATTTATTAAATACCAAAGGACAAGAACAAACAAATGATGAAACAAACTTATGAATTTGGCTGAAGGAGTAAACTTGGGAGATCGTGCTTCAAACTTGGGACACAAGTCTACCTTGTACTCGACACGTACTCCACTCCTTAATTCCAGGTACTCTATCATCTAGACTTACTGAAGTTGAAGGTTTTTATTTTCCTAGCTGATGATATGCCATCATGGCATATGGCATGGGATTTATTTTCTTATCTCAGCAGCTGAAGCTTTTTTATGGCATTCAAAGAGGGAAGAGTGGATGATGTGATCCGGAAGTGAAGTCTCATTTGAGTTCACCTTTGTACAGTAATGAAAATAATTATATTATCCGATAGCCAATAATGTAATTATGATCTCTGTTGAGATGTTGTTATATATCACTCTCATCTGAAATGTCAGACACGTACATTAATAGCCAATAATTCATGAACTCTTGATATTCTTGGTGTGAATCTACAGATACACTTTTTCGTTTAAGAAAGATTTTTTGGTGGTTGTCTTCCTTTCATATAAAGCTTTCAAACTTCCTCCACAATGAAACTGATGTAGTCACTTTTGAAACACGATGAAATACTTTTTCCTTCAAGCCACTGTCAAATAACCCCAATGGTTCTCCGGTTCAGCTTCCAATCTTCATCATTCTTTTTTCCGGCTTGTCGCCTTCTCTTGGGTTTGATATACAATTTCCATGTAATCTGGGATCTTATCTCAGCAGCTGAAGATTTTCACTGTATTTGAATTTACTTTCAAGTAGGCCAAATGGATGTTACAGGCACTGCTTTCAAATGGAAGAAATCACTGGAATTCTTGTAGCAGCTCCACAAATATTGATGAATTACATTCTTTTGGGGTTCGCAGTTTCGGAATACAGGGCTCATGAAGTGACTGAAACTGGACACAAGGGTTAAGCTACAACAGTAGCTGTGTGTGTAACAATAGCTTCCATGATGTAGCATGATTCTAACATTCATGACCCGCAGAAATACAGATATTGAGTTTTAAACAGAACAAATCTTTAAGATCAGAAATTGTTTTGCATCATCAAGCTACCCAGGAAAATCTGATTGCTTATACGTTCTTATAAAACCAGCTAAATTTGTCTTATAGGCCTGCAAGAGGATATGTGCTAAATTACAGGCTTGCATTCCTAGCTTCGCCCCTCTGCACGGCTCTGCTTGAACAAAAGCAAAATGGCTACAATAACAGGAGTTAATATCATGATAAGAGCCTGTACGATGTTGGGTCTGGTTATCTCAGGAAAAACTATGCTTCCATACTTTATAACAGCTGCAGCCACAATGGAACCAGCTACAACCTTCCCCACATATTCCAGATCGTCCTGTTTACAACAAAGAAAGCATTTAGATCATGTGAATGTTTAAAACCAGTGCATGATATAACAAAAGATATATGGTGCCTTTTAAATCTTGCGGTTCCTGATTAGTTTGTAAGGGAGGAATTTTGTGCAGATTTTTTACAATCTTCTCTTCCAATAAATCAGGCTCTTTTGCTGGGCCTCTTATCAGCTCCATTCCCTTCATTTTAGCAAAAGGACTCATGTACCAGATGCATTATTCAGTGCTTGGTTTGGTCACGAAAAATTTTCAATGTTCAGTAAATTGCTTGCTTCTACAGGGTTGGACTAGTCATATGTAGACCCACAATCTGCAAATTTAGTCAAATGCTGCATTTGCTACTTGCTGGAGAATCAGTGGAGTCAACGGTGATCCTCCTATAAATTGCAGCTTTGTTTCTGTTCTGTTTTCCCCATGACATATCAAGCCACCCTATACTTCAAAAAGACAGAACAATCCAAAACCACAAAAGAAGCCACTTTCTTTAGTCCATTTTCTTTGGATGTACTTGCCCTGGCTAGAGAACCTAATGAAATATATACTTGGCCAACTCAAACAAAACTAAGCGAAATCCCAGATGACAATAGAAAACAAGACTGTGCGAAGGGGACGAAAAATTTATGTGCTGATAAAATCATCCTCATCATGCTCTATAACTGTATACCAGAAAAAACAAATGTGGCACCAAATATGGACAGTACACAGTAGATACTCAGACCATTAGTTTTGTAAAGCCCATTCACAAAAGATTGGCCCCATCAAGTATGTACTTAGACACCTCAAGCATGTCAGATTGGCTTGTGAAACATGTGTGTTGTGCAGAAAATCTCTTTGATTTTGTTCTCAATGGACTATGTAACAAACCCTCACAACTCACAAGGATGAATTGAACACTCACACACTTGTTTTCTCTCTTTGGTTTCTAGACTTACAAGACTCCAACACTTGGACTCTGTCCTTGCTCACTAGGTCTCAGCTACTTTGCTCCCTTGCATCTGCTCTCCTCTTTATAATTCTGGTGTAGTTCAGCCTTTCAATTTAGGAGGGAAGCTTCCTCCAGCTGCAAACCCAACAACCAGCCACTCTCTTCAATGCCTAGGGATTGGAAGCTTGCAACAAGTCAACCAGCACCAATAAATGCTCTTCCTAGTTCCCAAAACTGATTGCCAACGTTCCTAGAGCTCAAAAATGACTTAAGGAACCGTTGCATTGGAATTGGGAACAAAGCACATGGGAAAACTCCTTGAAAACGCGCGGAAAATTTGACTGCAGAGCAAAACCGACCGGTCCTTCAACCGATCGTCTGAAGTCTGGAGCAATCTTGTGCTCTCTGTAAAAAAAGGACCGGTCTCCTCCTGAGCGCAACATGCTGAACAATTCTTCTTCCTTTGCATATGTTTTCGTTGAGCCAAACAACAAGAAGATGTTTCTTTTGGATTGGCTTTGTAAGAGATCACAAATCAGCAAATTTGAAGCCATCGATAAAAGAGAACAAACTTATTTGATAAACAACTCCATCTGGTATATTAGTCAAGCAAGCAAAATTGAAATTGAAATCTTCAAATGAAAAACTAAAACTAGACAGTTAGAAGGGAACCAAGAGTTCATATCTATTATGCTAAGAAAACAATCATGCTCGCTCTTTTACCTGGGCCTGAATCTCTATCGGACACAGATCTCTCATACATATATTGAAGCTTACATCTCTTTTTCTTTTCTTTAACTACATGAGGGAATTACCAAAGAAAATAATTGTAGCATTGAATACAGACATTCATATCCAATATGCTTGAACAAAATGAACAAAGTTGCTATCTATCTCAGAAATGAACACTAAATTTCCCTGCAGAACCACAAAAAATATTTCCCACCATAGTTTCATATCATAAAATCCTTACAAGCTTATTTCAAATACCCAATAGACATGTAAACCCATCAAAGCAAACTACCCATAAACCCAAAGAAAACAGAGACCAAGACCCAAATTTCAAAAGAACAAGAAAAGGTAAATGGGTGGTACCTGAGAGTTTGAAGCGCTTGTAGTGTTAGCGATGCCAGAACTTTCTTCTTCTTCTTCTCCTCCTCCTCTTCGAGGGTCAAGAGCTCGGATAGGCAAAGACCCTTTTACCCTCGTGGAAGAGAAGCAGTTTGGGTAGTGGATGGCGAATTTTGTGTAACCCGAGACCTTCTTTGCGGGCCTTATCTGCCGGTGGCCCGACCCGGAAGAGTAGCAGAGACTGGAGACTCCAGTGGCTGTGGCTGAGGCAGTTGTCGCCACCATTTCTATATCGCTGACTGTTTGACTGTCGACGCAAACTGCTTGCTGTCACGATGGCCAAGCATTATGGGATAGTTCAGATGATGAAGTCGAGTCCAATTTTTTTTTTTTTTTTTGAGTCTAACCCACTGTTTTTCATTCGGCTATTTCTTTTGGTCAAAACTCTAAATAGTTTTTTATTTAACAATGGGTCGGACCGGGTCAGGCCAGTATTCTCTTATTGTTTATACTAACAAAGGCGCCCACACGACGCTGTGGGTTTTGAAATTACATTAAATGTGTATAAAGTCGTAAAAATATGTAGAAAACATGGCTTTGTTTATATGTATATTGAGATTAAATAGTGGCATCATGCTTAGTTTAGTATGTTTAAGTTACAAAAAAAATAAATTAAGATAGATAAATTAATAAGATGATACATGTGCTGCTTATTATGTTAAAATACTGGCCCTATTTATATATAAATTGAGATCTAAACGGTGCCATCATGCTTAGTTTGGCAAATTGAAGTTGTAAAAATATTATGCATATTTTAATATATCAAGAAGCTATTAAAACATCAAACTATGATGCATATTGTTCAAAAAAACTTATACATGCATCTATCTATATTTAATGGGTGGTGGACATGGATGTTTCTTGCAAGGGCATATAGCTGTTGCTGCATTTGTTGCGTAGTTGGCTGATGTTCCTTCTTCTCCATTCAAGAGGTTTTAACTCTGTTGGTATAAAATCGGAAAATGGCAAACATTAATTATTATGATAGAATTAAGTTAAAAAAGTAAACCAGAGAAATAACAATTTACATACATCAAGCATTCTATTAATCTGATGGATAAAAGTATAAGGTCAATTTTATTGAATTAATTGAAAATAAACTGAAAACAATTGTGACAATTTTAATTGAATCAAATCAAGGGGTGTTGACTCTGCTGGTATAAACTTGGTAAATAGTAGGTGTCAGTGTTGACAAATGAGAAAATTTGAGCAAAGACAATGGCTATTGTTTTAGAATTAAGGCCAACAACAAAAACTGCAAAAACCACAATTTAAATGATCTAAAAATACCTAATAACCTATAAACAGAAATAAGATGATCTAGTGACCTAATGAGCAAATTTGTTACAAAAGTAAGATAATCTAGTGGAGAAGTAAGCTATAGAAGCAGCAATGATGTATAAACAACTATATGTTATAGAAGTAGAATAAAGGTAGAGATAAGACGCTAAGGTTATAGTTTTGTTAATTACATTTAAAACATTTAATAACAATGTTTCAAATTTGAAAAATGTAATTGAAAGTCAGTTCATATGGGAGCTCCAAAAAAATACGGAAAAAAAAAGAAGAAAATTTTAATAATTAATAAAAAAGAGTAAATAAATTTATATATTTATTGAAGTTATGAAATATCCATACCCCAACTTCTAAAAACAGGGAAGTTTCTTAGTATGAACAAAAATTTCAAGTGACTAAAATATTAAAATCAGGGAGAATTGAAATATATGTACATCACTTGTGTATACCACAAAAATTAATGCAAGGCAAATGCTTTAAAATCAAACACATTGGCTCAAAGGAATGAAACCAAATTGCATTCTAAAAGACGTTTGAGAAAAATCATATTTTAAAAGAAGAGTTGATAAATTTTCTTTAAAATTGAATCATAATTGAAGAAAATTATGAGAAAGGAAACTTTGTCCAAATTCAATGCAATCAACTACCACTTAATATAGAGAAATTGTGTGGGGAAATAAGCTGTGAACAATGAAATATTATGTATGTAATGTGTACATTAATGAGATGAATGAATTGAAAAGGAAAAAACATAAACTCTGATGTGGAAGTAGGAGAGGCAATTTTGGAACTGCCCTGGGCTTTTTTCTTCTTCAAACCGATAATTAGTAAATTGTCAGAATCTGACACATTTTCTTCTCTGGTTTTATGTTTATCATTGGCAAGACAAAGAGATTTCTATACCATTTGAAATGGAAAAACTATGAGCTTCTTGCATCATCTGATTTCGTTTGTTATCTCTAGTCCTTTTACGCATTATGCACAGAAATTTAAAACCCCAAGCAACAGATTGATAACTGGAAAGGAGAAAAAACATGCATTTATAAAATTTTATAGTAAATTGTCAGAATCTGATACATTTTCTTCTCTGGTTTTATGTTTATCATCGGCAAGACAAACACTTTCATAAGAGATTTCTATACCATTTGAAATGGCAAAACTATGAGCTTCTTGCATCATCTGATTTCATTTGCTATCTCTAGTCCTTTTACGCATTATGCACAGAAATTTAAAACCCCAAGCAACAGATTGATAACTGGAAAGGAGAAAAAACATGCATTTATAAAATTTTAAATTATCAATCACACCTAAACTGTAATTAAGCAAAGCAAATGCACCGTGATATTGACAAAACCACATAAATGAGAATTTTCAAATGTCATAATATTTGGCAATGAATAAGCTACAGCCATCATGCATGCAGTCTTTTGAAAAATGGATGAAACACTAACCTGTAGTCAAAGAAGCTATCAAGCACTTTGAAAAACAGCCACACAAAAGCAGGATCACAACAGCTATCTAAAATACAAAGACAGAAAAACAAAATTAGGCTAATAAATATAATTTTGGTTTTGCTTGTGAGATAAGACAGTCTCAATTAATGAATCTGTTTCAATACTGATTTTCGTATTGAAGAATATCAAGAACCAACAGAAACTATACTTTTTGTTACATTTACACAAACAAATGAAAACATGAAAATATGATGATACAAATTGAAGACTGGTTTCTTTTCAAATTCCTTGAGAGGAGAAGCACATGTTAATTGGTTGAAGAGTAACCAACACCATAAAGAGAAAACTAAATAAACACATCACAACTCATTTCAAAATCCATATGCATGCAAGACAGTGTAGACCAACACCAAATGTTCTGTAAAAAACAAATTCGATAAAACCAAACATTGACCAAACCCTATATAATTAGTTAAGCCAATGTGGTCAATTTGTTTCTGGAAATTAGTTCAATGGCCCATAATTGTGACTTGCAACCAACCATTTGCAGAGGAGCAATTTGAAATAAAATTAAGCAACAATCAACAGAGCGAAAAATAAAGACATTCTAGATTCTAAAACAGGGCTCTGAACAACCTGGTGATCCCCAATTGGAGCATTAGTGCCACATGTGCTACATCTTTGACAGTGTTTTGATATATAACCAACCTTTTAAAAAAAAATCTCATCCTCATTGTTAAAAATTGATGATCTTTTCCCACTTTAAAGTTATTTCCACTATGAATTGAAAACAAAAAAACATTTATTAAGAAAAAGTTCTTTCACTAACTGTATTGCAATGGAGATGCTACACTGTCTATTTAAAAACTATTAGATGCTGCATTTGAAATAAAGAGTATACGATTACTGATTATAATGTCATGCTTTTTAATAATGTGTTCTTTAATTTGAATAACTTTGATGCATAATAATCAAGCACCGTGTAGCTGATTTACATGGGTTCTTACTAAAAAGTTAATGTATATATTCGCAGGGGATGCTTTGATATCAAACTTGCATACCAAAAATTCATCATTAAAAAATTAAGAAGATACATATGCCTAAATGATCAACACAAATGGGAAATTGATGCCATTGGCTAAAGCAAAATGGAAAGCAATTAATTTCTGCCAATTAATTTCAACCAAGAAATTTCCCTCTTGCTTAACAGAACCAAAAGCAGGAACCTAAAAGCTCTATCCAAACCAGTAAAATAAGCCGACACTTTGACAGCACTGCATAGTTTACAGCATCTAAGTTTTCTTTTTGGTCATTGGTGGAAATTTCACTATTCATTGTATTTAGCTATTTTTGGTTAATAAATATTTTGATGCCATTTAGTGAAGAATTTAGAACGGATGCTAAATGTAGATGCACCAAGTATGAAACCGGTGGAAGATTTTGAGTAACTGTCTACAACTCAACAACATTTTCCTTGGCACTAATGCATTCAATATCGATCTATTATTTTAGGCATCATATTCAAAAATTACAAATTCCAACCAACACATCGATGGCTGGAAAGTAAAAAATAAACATGGATGAGTTAAATTACAATATTTTTATTACATCTATATCCTAATCAAGCAAAATGGACGCACACCAACAGTATTGTAGCTATATAAATAAAAAATTTAACATATGAAAACGAATTAAATACAATTTCTATAGCCTAATCAAGCAAACCATATAAGCAATAACATCACAATGATAGAAATAACAATTTTCAAAGACACAATATCCAAAAACCAATTAGCCACAGTTGATATGCAAGACTTCTTCAAAGGACGAATAGAAAACTGACCTGTTGTCTAGCAGCAATGGGAAGAGCTACCAAACAGTCTAAAAAACAGTTATATAGCACCTGTAAAAAACCCAAAAATCCGAAAATTCAGTTTCTTCTTCTCATAAGACATATAATCCTTTTTTTGCGCTTGAAAATTGTTGAAGTCTATTTTTGTACGGTTGCCATCTTTCTTTAGGACTTGAAGAAAAAATAAGAAGCACACACTTATCCCAACCAATTGTCAATTGACACCATTAGCTAATTCCTATGCTCTATCACAAAACTTAAAACAATTAATTGGAAATTTCAGCCTAGAAACTCACCTCCTGCTTAACATAACCGAAAACACCAACCAAACTGCTCTATCCAAAGCAAAAAAAGACCACCTACAAAATATCAAAAGAAAACATGGTTTGAAAAAAGAAAAAAATAAGAGAAGAAAAAGGAAGAAAAAACAGAAAAAATGGAGAAGAAATTAGCTTGCGTATTTTTATACATGCACAATCTTTTCATAAAACCAAAACTTTAACCTGAGCAAAATCGGCAAGGCAAGAAATCACTCAAGATTACCCAAATTAATTTGTTTTGGGCAAAGAAAAACACTGTAAAAGCACGGGAAAATGGCTGTTTAAATTATCCTAAATGCATATGAAACAAAGAATATAAGATCAAAAGTTACTGGTCTAAACAATCAAAAGTTAACTATGCAAAAGTCACCCTAAACAATCAAGATTTTTTATATATTTTTCAATTCCATTTTTCTGTTTTCCCTTTTTCCCCTTTAAACAGATATCAAAATCTCATACTCTAATTCAACAATTGAGTCATCTCAAAGTCTTTTCTAACAATCTAAATATCAAGTTCCAATTTGTACTAAACATATATGCCTAAAAATCAACCCAAAACATCAATCAAATGAAACCAAAGGCAGCTACATCTCATTTTTCATGTTAAAAAAGCTCCCTCAGAAAAACAAAAAATTTCAAAAAGCTTCAGCACACGAAAAGGCATTAATATATAATCAAAAGCAACATCAGGTTGTTATCAATCTTAGCAACAACCCCTCCAAATACATCATATCTTCCATAAACTAAAAGGAAAAAGTCAAAAATATTAACATATATTTAAGCACAGATCATACATAAAACAGCTTGTCATTAGTTGAAACCACATAAGAATTACTTGACTTCATTTACAGCTGTACAACCATAGCAATTAGTTCAAATTTATCCCAACCAATTGTCAATTGATGTCATTAGCTAATTACTATGCTTTATTCACAGAACCAAAAACAATGAGTTGTGTTTTTGGATAGAGAGTGAGAGAGTGAGGGTCGCATTTTTGTTTGCTCAATCGAAAAAGCCTCACAAGTAATGCACATCAAAGAGATCCATAAGTTTCTATTTTCTTGTAAAGTTGTAACCTCTAAACAATGAACATTTTCATTGAAATTTTAATCCTTGGATTGTTCGGTCCTTTGTAGTGCCAATGAGCGGGAACTGCTTGAAGAGCTTGCTTTACTGTACTACCACCAAACGTGCACGCACTCGCCCTAAAGTGCAGACAGCTAGTAAGTAATCACTTATCATCTGAGGATGCGTTCCCTGTCTGTGCATGTTGCAATCGGTGGATGTGTTCAAGTCCTTTCGTAAACCTTTTTCAAACTTTGAAACAGGGTGAATTTAATGTAATTAATCATCAGATTTGCATGACCGAACACCTTATACTATTTCAGGTTCAGTGTACAGATTTATCTGACTTGAATTTGTTCCTTTGCTTCTGTAGCAAACAATATAGAACCCGAGGTGGGAACGGTTGAGGAGAAAACAGATGAAGGAGAAGATCAAAATGACCCATGGAAGAAGTTAAAAGACTTTGCTGGGTATTAATACTACTTACTATGGTCATTAACTACTGAGTGAAAATTTAAAATCTATTTCCAGACAATACTAAAAAGATATATAGAAAATTTGGTTGCTACCAAATTTCCTTGAGCTATTCTGTTTTAAACCTGGCATATCCAAACATGTATAGTCTGCAATTGATCACAAGCTCTCGAGATGATATATATTCTGTTTTCATGTGTTCTGTTCTTCAGATGCATATTTCTGTGTCATTTACTTTTATCTTCTCTTCATTAATTAATGTACTCATCATGCAATTGACCAAACAAGTTTTTGGAATATGCAGGTCCGTTGCAAACGGTGCTCTAAAATGGCTGACAGACAACCTCTAGTCTGGTGTGTTTTGATTTTTTAGTTAATGTATATCTCATTTTCAGAGCGGTTTATTAAAAATCTTGTGATAGTTATTTGTTGTTGGAGTATTACAATTAATTGGTGAGGCTTTTTGTAAGCGTGATGATACAGAAAAGTGCTCATGACTTCAAATCAATTGTTATCATGATTTTGTTTTCATTAAATTGTAAGAAGAGGAATGCTTTCCAGTCACACTGGGCGACTGTAGCTGCAGTCTACATTAGGAAAGTTTAAACTTTTTGTTACAACTTGAATTCTCCTTTTTGCCCTATAATGAAATGGAATACCGCAAAGGAAAATGCTAGGGAGAGCACATTTATACTTGATGTGTCAAAGAAGTTCTTAACCATACGGGTGAATTTTGAGGTATGCAAAGTAAAATTCACCCAAATGGTTAATAGCAGAGTATCAAAGTAGTTCTTAACCACTTGTTGATTTCAGCCTTATATTTATTTGAATAAGAGGCTGTTCGGAGGATGCTTTGATCAAGCAAACAAGAAAAGAATAAGGGAACAAGGTAGGGGAAAGAAAAAGTAAGGAATTAAAAGAAAATAAAACAAACAAGTTAGGAAAGGGATAAATTCTATTCTTGTTGATTGGCAACTAGTGTGTGTTTTGTTGTCATGGTGGTGCCTGAATTGCCTTCCAAGCATTCTTTAGCCTCAGCATTATAAAACTAGCTGGGGAGAAATGAGAATGCCTACAACAATTCCCAATACTACGTACCTTGTTATCATTTGCATTAAAAGATTTCTTCCTTTTCTTTTCCTTTTTCTTCAACTAGAAATCCATTTCTAGAGAAAACAAATGGCTGAAGCACTCATTTCCGTGCTCCTAGAACAGTTGGCCTCAATCATCCAAAAACAGGTAGAACAAGAGGTCACACTCGTTGTCGGTGTTGAGAAAGAAGTGGCAAAACTCTCCCACAATTTCAAAGCTATTCAAGTTGTGCTCGAGGATGCAGAGGAGAGGCAAGTGAAGGAGCTGAACGTGAAATACTGGCTGGAAAGTTTGAAGGATGTATCCTACGAGATGGACGACGTGTTGGACGAGTGGAGTACTGAAATCCTGAAACAACAAATTCAGAAACAAGAAGCTGGTAATGCTGGTAGTACTAGTACTACCAAGAAGGTATGTTTCTGCATTCCTGCCCCTTGGTTTTGTTTCGGCCGTCAAGTAGTTCTTCGTCATGACATTGCTGTGAAGATAAAAGAACTAAATGAAAGATTAGCTCTGATTGCTAGTGAAAGACAAAACTATAACTTTCAACCCACGAAGAGAGGAATTCAACAAATTGAACGACAAAAAAGTTCTTCTTTCGTTGATAAGACATTTGGTCGAGTCGACGAAAAGGACAAAGTAGTAGAAAAGTTGTTGAGTGGCAGTGGTCAAGGAGGGGCGACCTGCCTTGTCATCCCTATTATAGGGATGGGAGGGATTGGCAAGACAACTCTTGCCCAACTTGCCTATAATGATGAAAAGGTTCAAGCCCATTTCAACACTAGAATATGGGTTTGTGTCTCAGATCCTTTTGATGAGATCAAAATTGCCAAGGCCATCATTGATGGTCTGAAAAAGGGGAATACCCCAGCTTCAAATGAGTTGCAAACACTCTTGGAGTTTATACATGAGTCTATTAAGGGCATGAAGTTCCTTCTTGTCCTAGATGATGTGTGGAACCATAGAAAGTGGGAACAATTAAAGTTACCTTTACAAAATGGGGCTGTGGGAAGTAGAATATTGGTGACCACACGAAAAGAGGAAGTTGCGAGGATGATGGGAGCATCCACTGATATTGTCAATTTGAAGGTGTTGAGTGAAGAAAACTGTTGGGCATTGTTCTATCACATTGCACTAGCTTATAGAGAAAAAAATGAGTCTAAAGGGTTAGAATTTATTGGTAAAGAGATTGTAAAAAAGTGTAAGGGTTTGCCCCTTGCTGCAAAGGCATTGGGTAGTCTCATGCGCTGCAAGGAAACGAGGAAACAATGGGAAGATGTTTTGAATAGTAAGATATGGGAGTTAGATGTAATTGAGGAACAAGTTTTCCAACCATTGTTACTAAGTTATTATGATTTGGCCCCGGCAATCAAACATTGTCTTTTGTATTGTGTTATTTTCCCAAAAGATTATAACATTGTCAAAGATGAGTTGATTGAGTTGTGGATGTCACAAAATTCTCTTAATTCAATTGGAAACAAAGAAAAAGAAGCAGTAGGCGAAATATACTTTGATAACTTAGTAATGCGCTCTTTCTTTCAAGAATTTAAGAAAGATGATCTTGGAAATATAACAGGGTGCAAGATGCATGATGTTGTGCATGACTTTCTACAATTTCTAACTAAGAATGAATGCTTTGTTTTTGAGGCTGAAGGTGGTAATAATAAGAGAATAATGGAGTTTGATGATTATAACAAGGTTCGTCATTTGACATTAATGTTTGCACCCAAAGGTCCACTAATTCCGAGTTCCTTGTGCAACTGCAAGAATTTACGAACTCTTGCAACTTTTGATTCAAAGATTACTAGCTTTGTTCGAGTGTTAATTTCACAAGTAAAATGTCTTAGAACGTTGAATCTAAGTGGTAATTCCTTGAAAGAAGTTCCAAATGAGGTTGGAGAATTGGCACATTTGAGGTATCTTGATTTGTCTAAAAATCATGATTTGATGAAATTGCCAGACACCATGTGTAATTTAATCAATCTGCAAACCTTGAGACTCATTAGCTGCTGGGCACTTGAAAGATTACCTGAAGGCATGGGAAAGCTGATTAACTTGCAGCATCTTCATGTTATGGATTGTGATAATCTAAAGTTGCCCAAGGGGATTGCAAGGTTAACAAGTCTACGAACGCTAGATGAAGTTTACATCCGTGGCAATGATGACGTTGATAACAACAAAGAAGCATTATTCGAGTTAAGTGATTTGAGAAACATGGACCAGCTTCGTGGGAGTTTCCGAATAGAATTTCTGGAGGATCTCAAGGACGCGAGGCAGGCCGAGCAAGCGCATTTGGTGAAAAAAAATTGCCTTGTCAGTCTGGAATTGAGTTTCTTCTTTCTCATGTGGCAGCCCACATCCAAGAAGAAACAGTGAATGCCTTACAACCACCTCCAAATCTGGAATCCTTCTCTATTGAAAACTATAGTGGCACCACACTCCGGCCCCATTGGATGACGTCGTTAAACAAATTGAGAAGCCTTTACCTCAGATTTTGCGACTTTGTTGAGTTTGTGCCTCCTTTGGGGAGATTGGAGTCCCTTGAAGTACTCTGCATCGTCAGTTGGTCCAGGGTGAAAAAGGTAGGAGTTGAGTTTTTGGGAATAGATGGAACAATAGAAACGCAAACATCCTCATCACCACTTATTTTATTCCCAAGTTTGAAAAGACTTGAATTCATCTTGTTGCCGAAGTGGGAAAAGTGGGAAGGAATGAGAGGGTGGAGTGAAGAGGAGGATTCTCATAATACAATTACAATAATGCCCTGCCTTTCTTCCTTAAAAATTGATTATATCCGTTCGCTTAAAACACTACCCAACTTCTTACGAAATACACCACTGAAGGAGTTGGTCATCGATGCCTATTGTCCGATTCTTGCACAAGGTTGCCGAAAACGCAGAGGAGAGTGGCCCAAGATTTCTCACATCCCAAACATCATAGTTGGTAACAAATTTGTACAAAAAGATGGAGTTTACCAAACTGATGATGATGAGACGCCAAGTGCCGCTTCCACTTCTTCTTCTGGTAATGTCTGTTAAGATTTCATTTTGTTAATGTCTATCTATATTATTCATTTATCATCACAAATTTTCTTTTTTTCTTTATGTTTGTTTTTTCTTTGGGAAATTGTCTATTTATTCAAATACCAAACTGATGATATAAAAAAACTCACATGTGGTGGGGGTAAAGTAAAGACAAATATAACGTGGTTAGAGAATGTTTTTATTTTTATTTTTTTTAATTTTGCAAATATTTTTTAAGAGGATGATATATAATATATAGAAATTTTTTAATGGTTTGAAATTCACTGGGTTATGTATGTATTAAAAAATTACTCTAAAATTGTCTTGGGCTATAAATCCTCTATGCGCCGACTACCCCCATTTCCAATTTCCAAGTACGTACTCCACTGCTTATATGATGAATGTTGTGCATAAATTATATCTATTCTATCTACACTTACTGAAGCTGAAGAAGGTTTTGATTTTCTTATGTCAGCAGATGAAGGTATTTCCTGGCATGCAAAGAGGGAAGTCTCATTTGAATTCATACTCTGAAGATAATCTTGTCAGAAGTGCGTATGTTGTAGAGTAGGGAAAATAATTATAATATCCAATATGTATGTATAGCCAATAATTCATTCATGAACTCTGTTGAGATGTGTTATTATATTATGATCTTTGTTGTGATGTTGTTATATATCACTCTAATATGTACAGTATACTCAATAATTCAATAATCAACTCTTATGATCTCCGTTGAGATGTTATATATCACTTTGATTTCTGATTTGAAATATCATATAATATGTACAGTATAGCCAATAATTTCAGGGTAAACTGCCGAATACCCTCTTGAACTAAGTAAAACAGACTTATCTTTTAAACTTTGCCGTCAAAATTAAAAATAAAGCAAACTTGTTTTTTTTCATTTCTTTTTAACTTAGAAAAGTACACTATATATAAATTACTGGGCACAAATATAATTTTCGTGTGTAGTATTGTCACACGTGTCAGATAAAGACACAACTATTTATGTCTACACAAAAAAGACTATTACTTTTCTCGAAGAACATATCATATGGTACTTATTACCTACATTAAATTGATATTTGGCATTATTTTTTATGTCCAGTGAAAAAATGTGCTCCATGCAAATCGATTTAACACAATTATTTGTGTTTTATTTGAAACGGGCACAAATAAAATTTGTTTGTGCGGTATATTAGAGGGGAGGGCATAATACATGTATTCGTGCTCTTAAGTTGGTGGTATTTGAATAATTTTGTAGTAGTGAAACTACTCTAATCTATGAGAAGAGGAATCGAACTCGGGCACAAAGGGATTGACACATTACTCATGGTCGACTGGCTACATCTGGCTAATGCTATTGGCTTTTTTATATGATTTTCATGTAATATGGGATTTTCTTATCTTAACAGCTGAAGATTTTCACGGCAGTTGAATTTTCTTTCAAGTAGACCAAACGGATGTTATAGGAATTGCTTTCAAATGGATGTGGAAGAAATCACTGGAATTCTTGTAGCAGCTCCACAAAATTGATGAAATACAGGGCTCATAAAGTGAGTGAAACTTGTCACGAGGGTTTTTCTATCCTAGCTGCGCCCATCTGCAACAATAGGGTTTTGGGTAAAGTCCATTCACAAAGGATTGGCCCCGTCAAGTATGTACCTAGACAACTTAAGCATGTTAGATTGGTTTGTGAAACATGTTTCTTTTAGACTGGCTAGGCAAGAGATGACAAATCAGCGAATTTGACGTCACCGATAAAAGAAAACAAACTTTCTATTTTTATAAACAGCTCCATCTGGTCAAAGTTTTATCATTTACTTTCACACAACAAGCAAGCAAAATAGACTATTAGGAGGGAACCAAAAGTTCGCATGAAAAAAATTTACCCACACCAGGGATACCATTGTGGAGCTGTCCTGAGCTAATCATCCATTGTCATATATTTTAACTTTCTGACATGGCAATACGTGATAGGCTTGCGATACCGTCGTTACATGTAAGTTCTCCTAAAGTTGTACTCTAGAGGCAAGTTTGTCCCTACGTTTTCAATTTTAACAATGCAATACCGCAACTATCAAAATTTGTTGCAATGTTGTTATGCCATTATGTTGACCGTTAAAAAATATGTTAGGTGATGACACGGCCGTCAGAAAACCTATTTAGTGGTGAAGTTTGCACTTTTTAATTTTATCTCTTAGGTTTTTTCACTGCTTAGTTGCCCTCGGTTTATAATTTGTGCAGTTTTGTAAACGTATTGAATTCACTTCACTGATTGCATTTCTGTTTACAAGAGTAGGCAGGGCAAGCGACTCTGTTTTTATATGCTCTGCTTTTACTAAAAGCCAAGCGACTCTGTTTGTATATGCTCTGCTTTTACTAAAATAAACTGTCTCTGTGCGAGAAATTCAAGCTGCCATTGCCAAAGCAGAGGAGCTGAGAGCTCTTCATGCTGCTTTGGTGCAAGGAAGTAGCCCTGCAAATCTCAGGTTCCCTTCTTCTTCCCCTGCCTCACGCCCTGTTTCTCAGTTCTCTGTGCGAGACTACCCTGTTTTCACACTTGTTAGTGCCAATTTCCAGCCATGCTTCATTTTTACCTCTAGTCTGGTCTTTTCTGTTTTCTTTATTATTGTGAGACTACTTATTCTTTATTATTATGATGTTGTTTCAATTCCTAATTATAGTTCGACCTCTACCTACCTAGTAAGTAAGCTTTCAAATTTTTTTTATTACATAACTAATTAATGTACGACACATTTCAGTTTTTATTTATTTTGAGGGATATAATCTTTCTGTGGTTCAATGTATCTCCAGAATTTTTTTTATTGTTTACTAATTAAGGTATTTTTTCCCCTTATCTTAAACTTGGTTCTTTGGTTGGAAGTTTGCTACTTCTAGTGTTAGGCTATGTATAGTTTATGGTTTCTGAAATATTGGAAAAAGTTCACAAAATTTTGAGATATTTTACAGAGTTATGAAGATGAACCACCTGGTTGCCATCAGGTTGACGATGAATCGAACATTATCTGAAAGTTGGGATGAATATGGCCTAGAAGAAGGAAATGGGGATGAAGCAGTTCTATCAAGTTACAAGGACAAGTCATCTTCAACACAAGGGTTTCCATTTGATTTAGCCAACGTAGAGTCCTATGCTTGCCCAGCTGAGGATCAACAATTAAAGTTATCTTTACAAAATGGGGCTGTGGCCCTGTGGGTAGTAGAATATTGGTGACCACACGAAAATGGGAAGTTGCGAGGATGATGGGAGCATCCACTGCCGTATTATGTCTCTTCCTCCTCTCCAATTCAAGGGGAGAGGGGGAGTGAATTGAAGAGTTTCGGACTGGAACATCTTGGACGTAAAGAGGCATGTGAAGGAATTTCTGACGAAGTGTCATAGAGAAAGCGACTGGTCGCCAAGCAATCTGCCTGGAACCGACTGGTCGCTCAAAAGGTGACAACCGGTCGCACGCCTCAATGACTGATGACTGTCTTGAACAGACCGGTCACCAGAAGAAGCGACCTGTCGCCAAGCAATCTGCCTGGAATCGACCAGTTGCTTAGAAGGTGACAACCAGTCGCCTGCTGAATTTTTTGACGATCTTTGCTCCTCGCAAGAAGAACGTGACAGTGATACTGGTAACTCGTGTGAAGATAAGATCGATATAAGACCCCCCCTTACCCTGCCACTGTCCCAATCAACTCGTGATAATGATGAGGTACTTTCTAATAATGTGTCTACTTACCCATTACCCCCACGCACTACTCGTGGTAAACATAAAGTACAATATTCTCTTTATATACACGCCAAATTCAAATACCTCATTAACCATTATGTGTCAACTCATCGTTTATCTAAGTCATATGCGTCATATTTGTGTCAATTATATAGTGTATGTATACCAACTAAGTTGTAGGATGTTCTATCTAATCCAAAATGGGTGGATGTAATGCATATTGAGATGGAAGCCTTGAACAAGAACGCTACTTGGGAGCTAGTTCCTTTACCGAAATGAAAAAAAAACAGTTGGGTGTAGATGAGTGTTTACTTTGAAGCACAAGGCTTATGGTTTCATTGACCGTTATAAGGCAAGATTGGTAGCAAAAGGTTATACTCAGACCTATGGAGTGGATTACACAGAGACCTTTGCTCCAGTAGCAAAGCTCAATACTGTGCGCGTACTCTTGTCCTTGGCTGCTAATCATGATTGACCATTGTTACAACTTGATGTCAAAAATGCATTCCTCCATGGTGACCTCAAGGAAGAAATATACATGGATCCTCCGTCGAGTATCTCTGTGATCTCTAAGGAGGGTTTGGTGTGCAAACTACGGAAATCTTTATATGGATTAAAGCAGTCTCTAAGAGTTTGGTTTGGAAGGTTTGCTACATCTATGAGAAAGTCTGGATATGTACAAAGTAATTATGAGAATACTTTGTTTCTGAAGCGTCACAAATGTGAATTGATAACTTTAATAATTTATGTTGACGATATGATTGTAACTAGAGATTATCAGGCAGAAACGTAGAATCTCCAGAAATATCTGGCTTATGAGTTTGAGATGAAATCATTGGGTGACTTGAAGTACTTTCTTGGGATTGAAGTTGCAAGATCTAAGCATGGTATTTTTTGTCTCAAATGAAGTATGTTTTGGATTTACTTATAGAAACTAGAATGTTAGATTGTAAACCAATTGATACTCCTAGGATTATATCCTGATCAAGTTTCTACTAATAAGGAGCGCTATCAACGGCTTGTGGAGAAATTAATTTATTTTGCTCATACACGTTCTGATATTGCATATGCAGTGAGTGTAGTGAGTCAGTTCATGCACTCGCTTAGTGAAGACCATGTAGGAGCTGTGACACGTATTTTGAGATATTTCAAAGTAACTCCTGGCAATAGGTTAATGTTTTCTAAGTATGGTCTTACAGATGCAGAAGGGTATACAGATGCTGATTGGGCAGGTTCAGCTACTGATAGGCATTCTACGTCTAGATATTTTACGTTTGTTGGTGGTAATCTAGTTACTTGGATAAACAAGAAACAAAAGTTGGTGTCTCGATCTAGTGCTGAGGCCGAGTACCGTGGGATGGCTCATGGTGTACGTGAGTTACTGTGGTTGAGAAGATTATTGAAAGATCTTGGCTTTGGGCCTAAGAAACCTATGGATTTATATTGTGACAATAAGGCTGCAATTGCAATTGCTCATAACCCTGTACAACATGATTGTACAAAAGCATGTTGAGGTTGATCGAAATTTCATTAAAGAAAAGTTGGATGCGGAGATTGTTTCCTTCCCATTCATCAATTCTAAGTATCAGTTAGCCGATATCCTTATGAATGTTGTTTCTACAAGTATCTTCCTCAACTCGTTTGACAAGTTAGGCACGCGTGACGTCTTTGCTCCAACTTGAGGGAGAGTGTTGGCGAGATATCCTAGTCTTATTAGGATATTTTTTTCTTATTCTATTGGGATTTTATTTATTCCTTTTTGGATAGATATTATGTAATTAGAACTTTTCTTATTTCCTAGTATAACCCTACTAGGGTTTGTAACCTTGTATTATAAATACCTCCTTTCAGAGAATGAAATACATATGAAAATATTCTACCCATATTGTTTGACTCTTATTTCTTTGTAAGTGGACCTTGAGAAAAATTAAGCAAATAACTATTGTTATTGAAGCCAGATTCCTCTATTAACCTTTTCTTGATCTTGTTCTATCCATATTAATTTCCATAAAAAGCTTGTTTTATTAGCCTTCCCGCATCATATAGGTTCTAGCAAGCAAAGGAGAACCAACCCTCAGTTCATACCAGCAAGCTTATAATGTAATTTTTTGTGAATATATATGGAAAAAAGTTCTTTAAAGGTAATATTTTGTATATAAATGTAAGACCATGAGCAATATATTTGTTTGGTGCTTATGACTGAATTGGATAACCCACCAAATTTAAGGCATTTTGAAGAAAGACATGAAGAAATTTTCTCCAAGTTGAAGGTACGTAGAATATGGATTACTCACGAAAAAAAACTTATCCAATCTAATCTCTACATAATGGTAGGATATATCAACATCTTATGACTTGAACCTTCTAATTCACCTGAAATGAAAAATCATTCACCTCTACATACCTTAAGGGCCCGTTTGATAACCATTTCAATTTTCAATTTTTAGTTTTTCAGTATTTATTTGTTTAAAAATTAAAAATTGAAAACTTGTTTGGCAACTAATTTCAGTTTTTTGAAAAAAGTGAAAAGTGAAAACTGAGGGACAAAAGTTGTTTGGTAACTGATTTCAGTTTTCATTTTTATGTGGAATTTTTTTTTTTTTTTTTTTTTTTTTTTTTTTTTTTTTGGAGTCAGTCAAATTGTGAATTTCATAACGTGGAATGAAAGTGCACGTTACAAAGAGGTTGTATTTTTTTTCCATCAATTTTTTGGATTCATGATGATTTTTTTGGTGAATTTTGAATTTGGAGGTTCCGGGGCCTTGATTGGACCCAATTGGAAATTCTGAAGCTTTGTTGGATTTTGATTTGGGTGTGATGGATTGCTTGAGTTTTAATGAAATGGGTTATGGTAAAACAATAATGGAGAGAAATGCCAAAATTAGAAAGAAAACAAAGAGCAAACTAAGCAAATGGAACATAAAGCTTGTGCCTTCGGGTTCAGAAACTAAGGAGAAATATGATGGAATTGGATTGGGCCCAATTGGAAATTTTGAAGCTTTATTGGAATTTTGATTTGGGTTTGGCCGAGATGAGAGAGCAGGGATGAGTTGGGGTTTGATAGGGATGAGGGAGAGAATATGTGCATTTTTTTTTCTTCTTCTAAGTAAGTCATTTTACAAATGAATAAATTTGTTTTTAAAATTTTGAATGTAAGGTGGGTGAGGAAATAAGATAAGTGGGTAGAAATAACAACTCATATAATATAACATGAGAGAATGATTATATTTATACTACATGGCAAGGTGATATGATTGCTAAAAAATTAATCAAATTTTACTTAAAGAAATAACCAACGTTTAAAAATGCCTTAATTTATTCCCAAAAAAAAAGACCTATATTTCTCTCATTAAAAAAATACTAGCCTCTCTGCACGTGCAAGAGTGCGTGCGAGAGGCTTTTTTTAAATCATGCTTGCAACACGCGACTTACAAAGTTCCATTTTTATTTTTTTGCAATTGTATTTTACTAGATGCCTATATCAACAATTTTAATTTTTTATCGCCCTTATTTTTCTAGATGCCCATCTCAACAATTTCTTTCTTTTTTTTTCTTTTATCGCATGTAAACTATTGAGATGGGCATCTAGAAAAATAAAGGCAATAAAAAATTAAAATTGTTGATATAGGCATCTAGCAAAATACAATTGCAAAAAAATAAAATGAAACTTTGTAAGTCGAGCGTAGCATTCGTGATTAAAAAAAACCCCTCGCACGCTCATGTGCAATGAGGCTAGTCTAATAAACTTTGGGAGCTAGGGGGATTCTTATTCAATTAATTGTGCGTAATACCCACACTTTTGTGCTTAAACTGTAGAAATGGACATCTAGAAAAATATGAAGATAAATAGTGGCAGACAGACATCTTAAAAAACACGTGCAATAAAGGAAAACTTTGAAAACGACCTTCTAGAAAAATATAATTATAAAAATAAAAAAAACCTTTGTAAGTCACTCGTAGCAATTGTGATAAACTATGTTGTACGGACAATGGTATGAGGACATGAAAACACGACACGGCGACACAGTAAATCTCAAAAAATAAGGACACGGCGACATGACAATTAAAATAATTATGAATCCTAATAAAATTATAATAGTATATATTTATATATATATTTTAAAGAAAAATTTGAAAAAACAACAGCATTATAGCTTGCTTTCTAATTCCACAATAGGATACTTTAGTTTGGCCTTTTAAGGCCATCTCCAACCCTTTGACTCAAACCCAAAATATCCCCCCAAACCTCTCCCAACCCAAGAAAATGAAGGACCCAAAATTTGGGAAAACCCAAATTTTTTCGTGAAGCCCACTTTTATGTCAAACAGCCCCATGTAAAAAGATTCCTCCGTGGGCCCCACCTTTTTTTTTTGCTGCTGCCATCTTGTCTTCCACAAGCGCCACTTGTCGAAGCCCCATTAAGTTGCCATTGGATTTGAAATTATTTGTTGTTTGTTTGTTTTTTTATTTTATATATACATATAACTTAAATCAACGATGGTGATTAAATCTAAGCTATTTTAATAGTAAAAAAAAAGATCAAACGGCTGAAATTTAAATTCAACAGTCAAAATAATATTTTAAATTTATCTAAATCAGATCTAACCCCAAAACTCACTCCAAACTCTATAAATACCCATCCATTTCTCAAATAATCTACCAAAAACATTTTATCTATTTCTCAATTTATTTTTCCTTTGTCAATCTCATCAATCTTCTTTCATTCTTGTTGAAGATGTCCACAAAATCTCCTTTCATTCTTCTTTTAGAATTATGTTGTGTGTTTTCTTTTGGAACAAAATTATATTTGAGGAATTTTAATTTTTTTAAGTCAAATTGTTCTAAAAATTTAATTATGAAGTTATTTAAAAAGATTGAATGAAGAAAAGTTATCCATTAAAAAAAAATTTAGACTTAAACCATTCTCAAACAATTTAATAAAGTTGTGGACCTAAAATTTGAGTCCGTAGGGTTGGGAGAAAGAACAATTTGAGTCCGGGCAAAACCCAAATATTCAGTTTTTGGAGGGGAGAAATTTGGGTTTAGCCCCTCATGGGTTAGATAAAGTTTAACCGAATCCAAATGCTAAGATTGATTTGGTTTTTCTTTTCTTAATTTTAAATTTAAATTGATTTTAAAGCAAAAGTTTGGAGGGGGATAGGAAACTCACAAATATGAGTATCATGGGACTTTAACCGATAACCATTTAGGAGCACATCAATGACCTAAGCCAATCCAACTAAATCCTCTAGGGGTTTGGATTGGATTTGGTTTGGTTGGTTGTGTTTTGCACACCCGAAAATAAGGAACAAAGACGACCAAAAAAAAAAAAAAAAAAAAAAAAAAAAAAAAAAAAAGAAAGGGACCAGGGAGGGAATGAAAATGAATAGGAAACAAAGATTAGGATTACCATTTTGTGTAAAAAGAACCCAATTCAATCTTGGTCGGGAGAGTTCTTCTGTTTCGATTACAGTTTCTTCAAAAGTCAGGTTAATCAGATATCGAGAAAGAGGAGACATCAGTTTATTTCTGATTTCTCCCAAACCCTACCCCTAATTTTCACCCAAACCCTAGCCCCAAATTTCCTTTAAACCCAATCCCAGAATTCGCAATCAATTCCCAAATTCTTAACCAAACCCATCAAGTTATTCTCCTTTAATCAGCGAAGATGGTGTTGGCGCAATTGGGGGGGAGCATTTCACGTGCTCTCCAGCAGATGAGCAATGCGACCGTGATCGACGAGAAGGTCCTGAACGAGTGCCTCAACGAGATCACTCGGGCTTTGCTCCAATCCGATGTTCAATTCAAGCTTGTCCGTGACATGCAGACCAATATAAAAAAGATTGTCAATTTGGATGATCTCGCTGCTGGTCACAACAAGCGCAAGATTATTCAGCAAGTAAATGTTTTCAAACACTCTCAAGCTTTTGTTCTTTTTTATGTTGTAGTTGGTTGATTGATGACGAGCGTTTAGAATAAATTTGGTGTTTTTGGATGTTATTAAGTTGGTATTGAATTTGGGGCTTAGTTTTTTTTTATCTTATATTGAGCTTATCAAAATCATGCATTTTAGGAAAGTTGGGGTTAGTAGTATTTGCAAGCTTGTCTGGTAAATGGAATAAAAACTTGGCAATTCGATGCATTGAGAACTTTAGACATACAGACATAAACAATGTCACCCTAAGGTTTAGCTTAATTTAATTAGACATACAGACATAAACAAGTTCACCCTAAGGTTTAGCTTAATTTAACTTTTCTCAAGAAAATAGCAATAAATATCAAGTAGATGTTCAATTGTTTATCATGTGTAGCCTGCAACGTGTGCATCAAGGTTTGCTTTTTAAAAAAAAAATAATGTTTGTTTTTAGACTCGTTAGAATGGTAAACGGTTATAAATTGACTAGAAGATGCAGATACGTACACTTCCAACAGCTGGGCTTTTGGATATATTTTCACGGAAACCTTTATGTTAAGCACTCATTTTTCTGCGGGGGATTCTTTCTTTGCTGTTCATTGAACCCCGGCTTCCCTCACCCCCTCCCCCATCCCTTTTCTTATTTTTTTTTGTATTCAGTTTGCAGCAAATTTCATATGTTGATGCTTGACGATCTATTTAATTCTTTTTCTCTTTGTTTTCTGTGTTTTCTAATGAACTGTTTCTTTTTTTATAGGCTATATTTAACGAACTTTGCAAAATGCTGGATCCAGGGAAACCGTCTTTCACTCCCAAGAAAGGGAAACCAAGTGTTGTCATGTTTGTTGGTTTACAAGGTATGCTCACTAATTTCACACTGGTTGGATTTTTTTTTTTTTTTTGGTCAGAAAGTTGATTCTTGATTGGATTATTTCACATTTCTTATGTGCAACAATTTTAGTTATTAAGTTCCAATTGAACTAGCTATCTGGAAGAGATTTAATGATTAGAAGTTTCTTGGACTTTAAAATGTACTTTTAGCTGAAGTATGCTGTATTTATATCTTATTTTGTGTTGGTTTTCAATTGGATATATCTATTCCATTTACATTACATGTTTATTCAATTCATCTAATTTTCCTAAAACATGCAGGGTCTGGAAAAACTACCACATGTACAAAATATGCATATTATCATCAGAAAAAAGGTTGGAAACCTGCCCTAGTGTGTGCAGATACATTTCGAGCTGGTGCATTTGATCAGTTGAAGCAAAATGCCACTAAGGCTAAGATTCCATTTTATGGAAGGTACTCTTTTTTCTTTCTACTGGTTTCTTTCTTTTAACAATTACAAGCCCAAAAGAGTTGTGAAGTTTGAGAATGTTGAATTTTTCTTTTCTTTTTGTAAACATAATTCTAGATTGTAGTTATTTTTTAAATAGGGGAAGTGAAGGAAAGAGGAAGGTAGTATTTAGATTAGTATCTCAGTGGCTATAGTTTGGTCTCATACTCCACTGGTATGGATCACGGTTTGATGTTTTTGGAGTTAGGAAAAAGATGGTGGTCATTACAGGCAGCCATCCATGGTGTTCTCCTGCATATCCATCTTTATTTCTATACTACCTATATGTTTTCTTCTCAGAATTTGATGCCTTTAGCATTCAAGTGATTTTTGGTATTTTCCCCTGCAGCTATATGGAGTCGGACCCTGTGAAAATTGCAGTTGAAGGTGTGGAAACGTTCAAAAAGGAGAATTGCGATCTTATAATTGTTGATACTAGCGGGCGTCACAAACAAGAAGCTGCCCTTTTTGAAGAAATGCGTCAAGTTTCTGAAGCAACGGTATTTGTTCTGGAATTTCATACTGTTTAAACTTACAGATGATTTTATTTGTTTGATAGTATCATTCTCTTAATATACTTTCTCTCATATTCCAGAAACCGGATCTTGTTATATTTGTTATGGATAGCAGTATTGGTCAGGCTGCATTTGATCAAGCTCAAGCCTTTAGGCAAAGTGTTTCAGTTGGAGCTGTTATTGTTACAAAAATGGATGGCCATGCAAAGGGAGGTGGTGCTCTTAGTGCGTAAGTTTTGCTGCAAATATTGCAATGTGTAATTTAATAATTTTTAGTTTGATCTAAGCATTGATATAGCTCATAAGAAGATGGTCCATTAAGATTACTCTTGAAACTTAGTATTTGGTTTTTGTTCATAGGCTAGTTTTCAACCTGTGCAATTCATGGGAAAAGTTAGCTATAGTTATAAATTTTGAAATAGTTTGCAAAATTTGCAAAATTGAAATATAACAAATAATTAAAAACTATAACCTCTTGTCTCACTCAAATCTTCAAAACCTCTCATTGTACATCCACCTCACGTAGGTAAGCCAAACCGCATTGACATCCATATTATGTTCCATCCCCGAACATCCAAATTATATATTTACCCTGTATACCTAAATCTATAATTGCAGTACATTCTTTGCTAACCCAAAGTTCTCACTGTGAAACACTATTGGTAGTACCAAGCTTACGTTGCACAACACCTACCATATGTACCAATCAGTGGTTAGTCCCCTAATAATCAGCTCAATGTTTTCCTAAGGATGGGATTTGAAGTAAAATGGTTCAGCAATGTTATTGTATAAGAAATATTTATCTTGGGGTTTGATCTCTGTGAGACTGCTGAATTTGTACTCTTGAGGTGGCCAGAAATTTTCTGCAGAACTTGGATTTTAATGGGAAGGAAAAGAAACGCTAGACGACAGTAGGAAATCGCTCCTGGGTCTGCAAGTAGTCACAGCTAGGAAGATAAGTGAAGCACTCCTTTGATGGCTAAAATGCTGGGGCAGTAGGAAACATTTTTTTAGCAGAATTTTTGACAGAGTTAGTGTTAGGTGACACATTTGGAATATTGAAAAATCAAGGTGGCATTTCTCTAAAACAATTTTGTTCTCCTGAGGTGACAATTGAAACTCGTGTATAAGTTCAGGTGACATCTGAAATCTTCCTTTTATGTATTATATGTGTTTTTTTCTGCTAATCCGCCTTCTCAGTCTTGTAATGCCATTCCAAAATTTTCGTGAACTTTAACTTCAAACATTAGTCTAGTGTTCAATACCAAAGAATAGGTACAGTGAAGGAAAGTATCTCTTTGGTTTCTGGGATTTCCAGCAATGGAGATAACATTGAAAACTAAATTTGGTAGCGTGCCTATAAAATAATGTCTAAAGACAAGACACAGAGTTTTAGTCCTTACTAAGGTGTGGTGTGAAAAACAGAACATAGTGTTTTAGAGTTTCTAGAGTATGCACTTACAGAGAAGCATTGGTCGCTTCTCCCGTTTTCTTGTTTGCAAAATCATGGTCCAGAGTTCATTCTTAACTTATTATGGATTAATTTATGTAACAGAAACTTCTTGCTCATTGCAATCAAAGCAGTTGAAAATTCAAAATTGTAACTCTTGGATCATTAATCTCAGTGACTGTTTGACAATTGGATTTTCATTTATTATATGTGTGCAGTGTTGCAGCAACAAAGAGTCCTGTTATATTTATTGGAACAGGAGAGCACATGGACGAGTTTGAAGTTTTTGATGTTAAACCGTTTGTCAGCCGTCTCTTAGGTCGCTATCTTTTTCAGTCTTGACTTTTCTTGATGTACTTAGCAATGAATATTTTAAACTGTTTAAATAACAATGGTTTTTACCACCAGGCATGGGCGACTGGTCTGGATTTATGGACAAGATCCATGAAGTTGTTCCTATGGACCAACAGCCAGAACTCTTGCAAAAGCTTTCAGAAGGGAACTTTACATTAAGGATTATGTATGAGCAGTTTCAGAACATACTTAAAATGGGTCCAATTAGCCAGGTTATCATTCTCTTTTATTGAACTTTATCTAGAACGTGCCTCTTTTATGTTCTTGCCCCTTCTTCTATACTTCTGTTTTACAGGGTGTGCAAGGTTTGAATACTAAACAGGTGGCACCTTTGTGTGATTGGATCTACTGAAGCTAATTGTAGATAAGAACAGATTACGTTCACATGTTTAGGGATAATGTTCACGTTTTATGGTAGCTTCACTAATTCTTCCCCAAATTTAAAATTTAGCAAAAACCACTTAAAACCCAACTTTGACCCTTCCCTACAGCTTCCCCAGAATTGAGAAATGCCCAAATTTTTCTCCAAATCAAGTTTGCTGTTTCATTTTTTCAAATGCTGCTTATTACTCTGACTCAGTAGCTATAGTTCTCCTCTATAAAAGAGGTCTTCCCCTCCCCTGAATGTCGTAAATGGATTTTAAGAAACCATATTATTGATGTCATGAAGATTGGGGAGGTAAGAATCATACTCATGATTATGTATGAACTGTATATCTTGTTCTCTCTCTCTCTCTCTCTCTCTCTCTCATACACACACACGCACATGCAGAAGCTTTAGGGTACGTAATCATGGATGTTATAGTTGAGACTTGAGAGGATCCTTGCAGACTAAGAATTTATTTGGTTTATGTAGGTCTTCTCAATGCTTCCAGGATTCAGTGCTGAATTAATGCCAAAAGGTCGTGAAAAGGAAAGCCAGGCGAAGATCAAGCGGTACATGACCATGATGGACTCGATGACAAATGAAGGCAAGTAAAGCCCATTCCTTTTGTTTCTGTGTATTAAGCCGCGTAGTTTGAACAATAACTGTGATGTTTAGTTCCTTTGGTGGAAAAAAAATACAAGAAACTCACATGTTCTACTGAATTCATCATGTTGAAACTGAGTAGCTTAACTTGTCTTGCAGAGTTGGATAGCTCAAATCCAAAACTCATCAATGAGTCACGTATAATGCGAATAGCACGAGGTTCTGGTCGTCAAATTAAAGAAGTAATGGAGATGTTTGAAGAATACAAGCGCCTTGCCAAGATATGGAGCAAAATGAAAGGACTTAAGATTCCGAAGAAGGGTGAAATGAGTGCACTATCCCGAAATATGAATGCGCAGCATATGAGCAAAGTCCTTCCTCCCCAGATGCTGAAGCAGATTGGTGGCATGGGTGGCTTACAAAGCTTGATGAAGCAAATGGGTTCTGGTAAAGACATGATGGGGATGTTCGGAGGCGGGGACAAGTAAGATATTTATGACAATTACAGTGGTGATCTCAAGTTTATTTGCAAGTAAGGGTTGTCCTTGTCAACCAGAGAGGCTTGCGGTTGTGGGAGGCTAACATATATCTGCCCGCCAGTTGATCCTGCTAACTGTTTTGCTAGAGCCTATTATCGAAAGGGCCAACAGATAATTTTGTTTTGTTTTTAATCGATAGTTGCTTTAGTTGTGATCTGAAGGGTCGGCATTTCTTTTTTAGTCTTATTGTGTACAATGTATTTGGTTAAAGAAATGATCGGTGATCAAAAGAATTGTAATGAAGTGTAGGCAATGAAGTGAATTTCATCATTTAATGTTTAAAACAGAGCACATAGGATTTGTTCCCCCTTCATTTTTTTGTAGCCATTTACCAATTTGATTTCATGCCTGCGTATTTAATATCAAGTATTTTGGCATATTGAGGCTCCAAAACTACCTATTTGATTACTTTTTGTAGTTTGCCTCACCCAACATAGCTTCGCTTTCTTGAGGTGATTATTCATGTTTGTTTATGTGAAAAGTACGAACAAAATAGTAAGAATTCTGAATGCTAGGTAGCATATACCAATTAGAGCATTCCTGGTTAGTCTTAATCTTGTCTCCCAACCGATTGCAATTGGCTACATGACTCGTTTTGCTAAGAAGATTCTCAAAAATAGTCGTGGATTATAATATTTCTTCAAAGCTATTTAACGTCTATGGCAACCTTTTCTTGTACAACAGAAAATTGAGGATACAACAGCCATGAATTCTATAGTTTCTGTGGTGAATCTTCTTGTACAATAAAGAACAATGAGCAAGCATATTTTTCATATAAAATACATTACAGTCTGCAACACTGCTAAATGAAATCATTTCATCAAAGTACCAAAAACCAACATGAATAAATGAAATTTTGAGTTTGACTGATAGATACACAGCCATCTCTTTACCTATTCAACTGCAGCTAGCTCAATCTCATTTATTTCAGAAGTCTTTGTGCTTGATCCAGAAGTATTCGAGTCTTCATCTGTTCCACTACGTTGGGATAAATTTCGTGGAGGAGATTGCCCATGTTCAAATGGAAAAGGTGGTGGAGGAATCACCATATGTCCCTCCAACATCTTCACCACATTGCTCATGAGAGGTCTTTCTTCTGGTGAGTTCTGAATGCACAACAGAGCTACCAAAAACATCCTTTCTGCTTTTTCCCTGTCTCTCTCTTCGATCCCGCAACGAGACACCAACACCGCCAATTCATTTTTGTTATACATGTTCCATGTCCACTTTGGAAGCCATTCACGCGATTCATTTGCATTATCATCAAAATGTCTTCTCCTTCCAACAATCTCAAAGAGAACAATACCAAAACTGTACACATCACATTTGTGAGTCACAGGATAAGGCTTCCATACATCTGGAGCTGCATATCCTGGTGTCCCTCTAAAGTTGGTTAACACCATTTGACTACTTCCCTTGTTGCAAAGCTTTGCAAGTCCAAAATCTGCAACCTTTGGATTCAAATTCTCATCAAGAAGTACATTTTCGGGCTTAATATCGTAATGAATGATTCTTTTTCCACACCCCTCATGCAAATAAGCTAATCCTAGTGCTATTTGTACTGCAATATCATGGAGCTTCTCCAAATCTACTTGTTTGTTCTCTTCGAACAGTAACTTGTCAAGCGATCCATTCTCCATGTACTCATAGACAAGTGCTTTCAATTCGGGATCGAAGCAGAAACCATAAAGTCTAACCAAATTCATGTGACAAATTGTTCCCAAAGTGCCAACTTCTGCCATGAACTGCTCTTCAACTATCTTAGCACTATTATTGTTGGTAAGGACCTTGACAGCCACTTCCACTCCGTCAACGAGAAGCCCTTTATATACTACTCCGAAAGCACCTGAACCCAACAAGTTGGCGGGGTTATAATTATTTGTGAACTCTGCAATTTGCTTAGGTGAGAAAGCTACAGGCTTCTCTCTTGCCATGTTGCTAAGAAACCCTTTGATTGTTGTTGGAAAATCAACTTTTACCGGAAACTGATCAGCTCTTACGTCTATTGCTAGTTGGTTGGAGCCCTTGCCGGTGCTGTCAACGCTGTCTATCCGGGAATAGATTGGAATTGTACTTCCTGCCTTCTTGACGCAGTTAATAATGGCGTATGTAATAGCTGCAACAGCAACGATAAGCACCACGCCATAAACTGAAAAGGAAAAACAAAATTGCGAACATATGAACATATTTGTATAAAACTTATTCGCGTATTATATGTGTACGTACGTATTTCAAAAAAAATATTTTAATTTTTCCTATACTTCTCAGTTATATAGAAAAATGTGTTTTTTGCATACATTTTTTTAATGAATAATACACATATTATTCACGTATTTCATTCGTATTTTTTCACCTACCTTCTCTCAAGTCTTGATTACATGCCCTGAATTATCTCCTGACTATAATTTTAAGTGCTTTGCTTTTCTAGTACTACTTGAACTCATTATATCCTCTGAATTAACAACATGCTTTGTCTGCTTGGCAGTCAATGTCATAAATCATATTAATGAAAGCATGTTTACTTTCAGTAACATAAAATATATAAAAACAAAAAAAAACATGATTGTTGTAGCATAATATAAAGTAGAACATCACTTGCAAGTTTTCTGAAAATGGAAACTGTAAAAATGAAAAGAAAAGCTAGCTAGCTACATAGGCAACAATTATGTGTTGTATTGCTCTGGATTGAAGCTTTATTACCAACAGAAACAGCCACCATCTTGTTCACGATGTTCATGAAGGAACTGAAGATGTCCTCCTGTGGCGGTGAGGATCCTGCAAAGCCATTGTTCCTGTTGTTCATGATGGAATTGAAGATTTCCTTCGGTAGCGGTGAGGATGCTACAACAAAGCGAACACGATCAGAGTTCATTTTTTTCTGCTAAACTCTGTTGCGTAGAATGAAATGTCAGAAAATGAAGCTGATAGAAGTGAACACAGAAAGAAAGCTAAGAAATAAATGAGACCTTTGCTTATTTGTTTGTTTCTTTTTCAAACAGATTTACAAATATATATATATATATATATTTTCTTTCTTCTGCAGTTTGCAAAATTTTGTTTGAACCAGCAGGTTTTCATGATAACTTGCGAGGAAATTAGAGGGAAGTTTCCAATTTCTATTCAAAACTCATTTGGACGGGGCTCTAAGTGGATGAATTGAACACGCCTGGTATGAAAAAGATAATTTTTAAACCTTGAATTGGTCAAGGATGAAGAAGACGTTGCAAATAGAAATTTCAATGATGCTAACTGGACGAAATGAACACACCTGATATGAAAAAGAGAATTTTTAAACCATGAACTGGTCTACAATTATTTTCTTAGGAAAAGGCGTTGCAAATGGCAATAGCATATGAGGCTGTCGCAGTCGGGGAGAAAATAAGGTGATTAGGGAATAGGAATACAAGTGGAGGAAATAGCACCGCTCTAAGTTAAAATGGGGTTGTAGGTGCGTGTGCACACACACAATAGCACTCAAATACTAGTCCGTTAGTAAGTTAATACGGCCCTAACTAGGGTGGGCATTTATACTGAATAATTGACAAAACCAGCCGAGGTGGACCGCCTGATCCGATTCTGTGGTGCTGCTCGTCTCCCCTCAGGCCAAGGACGAGTGGATTTGCAATTTCCATTATATTGCCGAAGTCAACTGTTGTTTCTCCTTTCCCATTCGGATGAACTTATTCATTATTTTCTTCAATTTTATTGACTTTTGATTTCATATAATAATACTAATACATTCATTTAGCCAATAACCTAATGACTTCTTTGCCGATAAGTAGCTCTATTTCTTTCTACTTTATTGGAAACAAGTCTCACACTGATGGAGTGGCAAGTTTGATACATTTGTAAAAGGAGAAGAAGAAATCAGTGTCACGCTTTTAGCTTTTGGATGAGTTTTAAATGACATGGCATGCTTGGAGTGAAAGCCAAGCAAATCCTAACAGAGAAAAGGAGGATCCCGATATTCCGTAATTTTACAATATTATGACCTTGTTGAAGGAGATCGTATTTTTATTATAATAAAAAATTAAAATAAAAAACGAGGGTGGCACACATTTTCATCCACCCCTTTCTAATGCATTCTCACAAATTGTTTATTCATAACTATCCAATAAATGGCAATAATTGGATTATGGAAAGTAAACCACGAGAAGGGAACGTGTCCTGTTGTACAATGAAATCGGAGATAGGCTTGACTTGAGGAATGATAATATGTTAGAATCTAGAAAGAACATATGTGTTGGTAACTTCTACCTGTATATACAAGGATTTAGAAAACTTGGGTATGCATTTCGTATATTGATCTACAATAATATTACTCACATGTCATTTTTCCAAGAATTTGCTTAGAACAGTTTTCCTTAAGTATGCATCTCCTCCATCATCATCATCTTCTTCTTCAGCTTTTATATTTGCGTTCAAAGCACAACGGATTACTGAGTTGACCTGCATCCTTAATCTGGCGCTATCAACAAACTGATCTGTAAGCATCTTCCTCAACTCATCATCAGCCGTCCTATCACCGCCAGCAATGTTGTGAGCTTCGTCTACTGCCATAACTGCATTTTCGACATCCTGAGCCAGGAGCTGTGCCTGTTGCAATTTTGTGAAGCATTTGGTCACACCAAAATTATAAGCAAATAAGACCCTAACAATTGGAAAGAGAATACATCATTCTTGTAAACATATATTCTAGATAAGTATTGACTAAAAGACCAGATGTGCATTTGACTGCTATGGGTATATAGCAGTAAAAGTCACACATGTTGGACAACACGGTGCTTCTCATATTTCATCAACATTTCTAGCATCATATTTTATAATACTTGGATCACTTGTATAAGGAGACCAATAAAGCTAGTTAGCACCTTCAACTTTTAGAAGTATACTTTCATGAGCCGGCTTGCAGTCTAATAAATACAGATTACTAATATACGTCACTCAATGAGTTAAAAGACAAGAACAAGAACTAGGGGTAATTACATTTTTTGTCACTGTGGTTAGGGTTGAATTTAATTTTGGTCACCGAAATTTCAATTTTTCGATTTTGATCACGGTATTTGCAGCGGTTAGCAAATTATGTCAAATGTTTCAATTCTGTGAGTTTCATTAATTTAAAATTTTAAAAACCCACGTGCCCATCCCCTCCTCTCTCTCTCTTCCCTTTCTGTCTCTTCCCCCTCTCTTGCTTCGACTGGGTTTGTTCAAACCCAAAACCCACACCCACCTACCCGTTCAAACCCAAAACCCACACCCACCTACCCTCCTCCCCCCATCCCACTCCAATGCAACCCAGAACCCACCCCCCTCTCTATCTTCAACTAGTTTTTCTGCATTTTGCTCTTCTGCATCTGCTATGGCACACCCTAATACTTCTGCAATTATCTATCATGGTTTTGATTAGGGACAATACTCCTTCGTGAGGAGGTGGGGAAGGGGAGGTGATGGGGTGGGCAGTGATGGCTGTGAGGTGGTGGGGGAGGTGGTGTGGGTGGCTGTTGAGGGGGAAGAGATAGAGGAGAGAGAAGGTGATGTGGCTTCTGGGAATTATCATGAAGCTCCAATGGCGGTTTGAATTTGAGAGGTTGGGTAAAAAGATTGAGGTGGGGTGGTTATGGCTGCCAGGGGTTGGGTAAAGAGAGAGAAAGAGGAGGATTAAACAATTATTAAAAAAAATTAATAATTTAATTTATTTATAATTTAATATTAAAAATTATTTTTAATTAATGAAACTGACGGAATTGAAACATTTGCAGTGACCAAAATCGGAAAATTGAAATTTCGGTGACTAAAATTAAATTCGACCCTAACCCCAATGACCAAAAATGTAATTACCCCAAAAAGAACTAAAGGTGCCAAACATACCTCTGCAAGAAGTAGACCAATTCTATTGTCAGAGGTTGTCAGTAAATCTATAGCATCAGATGGGGATGAAGTATCCAAAATGAGTTTATCTTCCTCTTCAACAAGGAAATTAACACTACACTCTTGAAGCCGATTGCGAAGAATTTCACATTCATGCAACAACTTTGCATTAGCAGTATTTGCGCCCTCTATTCTTCGCCTTTCCTTTTGAAGAATCCTCTGAAAGATAAACACAAAACAACATATTTAGAGGGTTTTAAATCGTATTTTTCCTTAAAGAAAATGCATAATACGACCAAAACTGCTAAAATCCAGAAGACTACAGAAACACTAAATTCTGCTTAGCACCCTTATCTCCTATCATCAAATGCCCAAAAGCCTTGGCTAATGTATTCATGTGCTCTAAGTGTCGTCCTTGTTAATTTTCCATTTTTTTAGAAGTGCAATCTTGTTCTTTTGTGAATCCCATTCAGTTGGATGTCTCCTAGTCCAAGAAAATTACTGTTCATAAGAAATTTCACACATATGAGGAAGAAGAACGGCGGTTTACCAAAACATATCATTCAATTTTCCAAGTTTGGGACTCAACAAAAATCAAATGAAGCAGAAACAACATTACCTCTACTTCTAACTTTTCTTTCAGTAATCGACTGAGTTCCTGCTTCAATTCTGATTGTGAATTCCGAAGAAATTTGACCTCTTTAACAAGTAGCTTTACATCTGTCTTTGATTTTGCCTCAAACTCTTCATGATATTTCTGCAAGTTCTCAAGTTGCAGCCTAGAGGCATCCAACTCCTGTAGCAACATATCATTCTCCTGAATGATAGATATTTTTGTTGACTCTGAATGCACCTTTGCATCCTGGAATATTCTTGCACGTCATCCACAGAAGGCCCTTGATATTCAATGACAGAGAAATCTAAGAAAAAAATTGTAGTAAAAGGAACAAACCTGCTCAGATTTTAATTGTAATTCCAAGTCCAAGCACTTCCTTCGGAGTTCCTCCATATCCCACTGCATTTGGGTAAACCTTTCTTTTTCAGTTAACACCGTCTGCTGCATGTTTTCTTTACAATTCTCTCTGGTAGTTTCAAGTTCCACTTCCAGATCTTTGACCTGCAAGAGAAAATTCTGGTAAGACAATAACGTTTTAGGGAAATAGATTACAGCCAGTAGTTATGGGGATTGAAGTTGAACTAAGACTTCGAAATTAATGTCAACCTCCTTTTTCTCTTTCACAAATCCATCAGCATAGTTATAATGCAACCAGTAAACAATTCCAAGATTTCACCAAGATAAGTCAATTCTTAGTTGCAAAGATGAAAATACACTACTAAGTCCTCACATATTCACTTGGGTATCTGGTGCACCCTTTTCAGACATCACGAGGGGAAAAACATTTCTACACCAACTAAACATTACCAGTATTTAAGGTAAATCTTAAGCAGTTACCCAACTATGAATACAAATCACCAATCTGTAACCATTACACAGTAACTATCATTTATATAAAGAATCAATCATTCTCCCCCGCCAGTTCTGTGACTTCTAACAACTGCTAACGCATTCTTTGACTTTGCATCTGACTTAGGTTTGGCTTTGCTGTTACAGACTCACTTATTTACAGCACTTTATTCCTTACTTCCATGCATGGCTGAGACATGACATCCTCTAGAATAATAATAGTAAGTACTTGCCAAATGGAAAAAATAAAACTTATAAAAGTCCTTCATAAAAAAAGGAAAAACTGAAACTAATGGATAACCCCCAACCCCAGCAATCTAAATATAGAGGACCCAATGGCTGGGAAATTGGGAATAGAAAGCAGACTTCAATCCCAAATGAAGTCAATCAATATCATATTAGCAACAAGAACTTATTGACTGTTAAAGGTTAATTGTCAATTAGTACCACAGTAGCAACAAGCACGTATTAACTGTCATGTTTCTGTGCAGTTTCTATTATAAAATAAAATTTCATCTTCTTGTTTCAGAATAAAATATAAAAAATTATACCTTTGTCGTGAGGAATTGTCTCACAGCACCTTCTTGATTCAATCTAGCAATAAGATCCTCAATGTCAGTTTTTGCTGTGGCTAGTCTCTGCTGCATTGTAGTAAGAACCCTGTTTAATTTATGTCGCTCATCGGATGGAAGAGCAACGAGTGAGTCCCTTGAAAACCTTAAATCTGAGTTCACAAAAGTATTAGGAGCTTCAGAACTTTCTGCAAGATCAAGGGAGCTATCACCAAATAAATTGGCCACTCCCAAGTTAGATGTTTCACTAACTCTCACAGAACTCAAGTCACTTCCAAAACTCTCCGTTGACAGCCTTCGAGCATGGCCATCCCGCTTGCAATCCTCTATTTCCGAAAAGAACTCTGTTCCATCCATGCGAAGAGGTCTGGCATCAGAGTTGTTCTCACTTACTCGGTCCCTGTCAGTACTACTGGCATAACTTCTGCCAGGAAATTGACGCCTGGAGAGCCTTTCTAGGCCTGCCTGAACAAAGTTCCGGTTAAACATGCCAAACTTGACGGACGTTGCCATTGAATCAATTAAGTCCTGTTCAGATGTTGAATGCTCCATGCCAGGATTAGCACGGTTATCATCTCCATGCCTTGGTGTTCCAATCTCAGATTCATCGTATGTAGTATCATTACCATAATCTGATGTAATAGATGAACTAGCAGCAACCACAGAAAGATCTGAATGAGCTTGCAACAGGAATGATGGAGCTGCGCCACTAGTCGAAGAGTTTACATCTGAAATTTGCTGATTTACTTCTTGGAATGCTGAAGAGCATGACAACCAAAAACTAATATAAGCAGATGGACGTATTCAATACATGATAGAATTTAATCTCTAAGATGCATCAAGGATACACCTACAAGACCTGGCAGCAGCTTCAAGCTCAAGAAAGGTTGCAACCAATACATTTCTTGATAAATCAATGTCTGATAATAGCTTTTCCATCCAATCCTCCAAAGAACATCTTCGCTGCAAGAAACAAACTAATTTGAGAATGAGAGGATAAACACTTCAGAAAAATCAAGCAGACATGAAAAAAGCATGTTCAATAATCATGATCATCCGTGCTGCAATTCCCTTTTTTTAACCAAAAACAAAACAAAAAAACCCTCACCATGCCCAAAAAAAATTGCAAGAGGGACGATAACGATTGATGAATGCGTTGAGTAACCCTAAACTCTATCCTTTTTCGACAATCAAACTGACATTAGGCTATTTTAACAAGTAACCTCTGCAATTAACTACAAACAGACAACAAAAATCAATGATCCAATCAACAAGTACTTTCATCAAAATGTATATCAAGATTCTCAACTTTGACATGAGGATTATGTAGCTTAAAAAGGTGTTCCCCATGAGGATTTTTATCAAAATGTATCACACCATTCTCAACAAGTTGGGCTTATATTAAATTTGCTTCTAATTACAAAGAAAATAAAAAAGCTAAGAGGTGCACCATTACTTTAGAGAGAGAGAGAGAGCCCACCTCTTCCAATTGTGCCTGACTTTTCATTCTCAGGAACCCCTTTGGAGGAGCTGGAGGCAGATCTTTCATAGGGAACGCCTTTTTAAGCTACAGAAGACAATAGTCAATGAGATTGCTCAACAGTCCAACAAAATATGAAATTGCTAAGATCTACAATAAACAAAAACACAAAAGGCATATGCATAAACTTGTGTGTTCCGATTAGAAAGTAGCTAAGTTCAGTAATAGCATCTCAACCCTTAGGTTAAAAATAGATCGCTAATGCGTCTTCGACATAGTGTTGATCAGTCTATACCTAATGAAAGGGGTTAAATGTTTATTATTCAAGTTAACTACTTGTTATATTGGAATTGAACATATAATTTTTTATAAAGTATGCAATAATGAAAGTCAAACCTAGATATTTTGAAGATGAAAGTGAAATATCAATTAGAGATAAGAAATTGGCACATTTGAAGGTCATCATCCTTACCCTTGTCCCAATCATATGGGATGCATATATCTCCCAAAAAATTTAAGATAATTTAATTTTGTTTCAATCTTAGTCTTGGTCTTCGTCGCTCTTTTGGTCATTTAACTTATTACTAAAAGGTGCCACTCAGAATGTTTCTCCAATACGTTGATTTTTAGTTGTCCTTCTTAAATCAATCATTGAAATTTTCACTTCCATACATAGATGTCTTGCTCTTCCTCTTGTTTTCCTTTAATACCCAAAATTTTGTCCCGTGGAAAATAACTAGCCATGTGATAATTCAATAGAACTTCTTTTTAACACAAACGATAATATTATTAAAAAGAAACCGTAAAGAACAACAAGTGGAGCAATTCAATAGAACTACACTTTTATATATTTACTATTTAGTACTCTTTTATGACATAAGAAATCACAAGCTTGTCTCCATTGTATCCAGCTTGTTTCAGTAATGGATATTACATAATCATCTATTTCCCCACCATTTTGCCTTACCAATCCTAAATATCATAAAACATTTGTACTTCCTTTTAATGCGCACTTCATATATTTGAGGTTGACACAGACATTGTTTACTTACTGCTGAGTTCTGACTTACATAAATGAACAGAAATGTCACTTACTTCAGAAAATAGTTTCAAAAAGTCGCTAAATCTTCGTAATATCCCGCGAGTAGTGGTGATTCCTTCCCGTGATTGTACACCAACTTGAACCCTATAAAACTGTTCTCTATGAATGTTAAAATGGAAGTTAACTAAAAAAGGTACAAAATTACCAGAAAATAATGCACATCCAACTTTACAAGAGAACTAATTGAAAAAAATAACCAACATTCCATTAACATCTCCAGCAATTCTTTGTTACAAAACTTTGAAAAATTAGATAATAATAGCCGTGAAATGGATTATAATTACTAAAATGAAAGTGATACCCCATCAATTGTTTTTCGTATGTCAAACACAATACAATGGGAATTACAAAATGTAAGCCCACAAGAAAATTTCAAAAAATCCATTACTTAGGTACTCAACAATGAGGCTGAATAGTTTTATGTTCTAAATAATGTTGTTGCAAATGAGAACAGAAAACAATTATATATGTAAAGACTAAATTTAATTAAAATAAAAATAAACATTAAGTATACCACCACAGGATCTGAACCTCTTGATTTGGGCAGGAAAATCCAAGAAGGAATAGTGATACAATAACTCCATCCTGTAGGCGGGTTATGTGGCCAAACAGAGTCGCGCCCATCCTTCATTTACAACCAAAATAGATTATTATAAGGAAAATGACAAAGAAACATAATAATTTAAACCTAAATAATGCACCATCGTGTGCCTGCAAAGCCAAATCTGTCAAATACTGACAAAACTGATTAACTTACAGCATACTTGGTCATGTCAGAGACATATTTCACTGTAACAACTACATAGTTGAAGCACTGATTTCAACTAACCCCCCAAAAAATAAAGACGGGGGAGGGCTAACCCCTAAACTTTTGCAATTACCATGCACAAGTATTCACCATCATTTCTAGTCATGTTGGGTACTATTATACTCAAGAAATCCATAATGTTTAAACTTGGACCTTAAGCTTAGAAGCATTAACTGCAGCAAAACTTATACTAGAACATGTTTTTTCTTGGTGAGAATGAAAAAAATATATATATATCTAAAATTAAATACCATTTATTATACTTGTTTTCATCTCTCTGTTGGTGAACCACCAAAATCCTACATAACAGCTCAACATCATATCTAGTATCTCTGCAATCTTAAATTTCAGATGCATGCAGCCTACAATCAACTTTATAGGATTCCTGCAATATTGTCTGTTCCATAACCCTCTTTTTCCCAGTGTGCAAATGTGCATAGATGATGCAATATCCCACCATATTACTTCCTTCAATACAATCTTCTATTCTCCTTCCCAGTCAAAAGAATCTTTCTATTCTCCTGGGGATTTCTATCCCTACTCCCTGCCCTCACCCCCATCAATGATTTTGCTGATCCTCTGCCCTTCCTTCTCTCGTGCACACATTTACAAACATCTGCAACTGTTTAGGTTCCAAGAAATGTACTTCCAATCAAATCCCAGTAACTATTTAGGTTCTAGATTCACTCCCCAGGTACTTCACTGGATTCTCCCCCTCCTCCTACCTCTGGAGATTATGCAGAAAATTTATCGATTCCTAATTCTTTCACTCTCATTGCATAGTATATACTTTTCATAATTGATGCATGGACTTCTAAATTCCTCCACTATATCCTACCCTTACCCTTTCCTGTTTACCCCGTCCAAAAACAGTCTTTCAATTTTCCGCCAACAATTTGCTCTACCCCAAAAACTTCTCCCAAGCTTCCATCCCAGACCAACCAACCATATCATATAATTTACACTCATTATAAAGCTATTCACAAAATACTCATTGATTGTGTGCAGTCTTTCCTAGTTAATGCTTCTGGGGCTTTCAGAAGTCCAAAAGTACCTTTTCCACTCCATCACTAGCATGGATCAAAATTTTCTTCCCTCCCCTCCTGTCCATACTGTCATATTTCGATAAACAAATTTCATGATGCTTAGACTACTAACTGACATATGTCCTCTTTATAGCTTCAAAGCTGAAACAAAATAACTAACTTGATCGGTAATATCTTACAACATAGACTATAGCTTATCACCACCGCTTCAGCCACCCTAACTTCATAATCAAGTGCTTGAAATTAATCAAATTTGAAACATTGAACAGATTGAACCAAAAACTCCAACAACACATTCACAAAACCCACTAACCAAATTCCAACACAAACCCAACAATTCCCTCAAAAAAGATTAAAATTAAAACTTCATAACTGGGTTTCCACAGAAGCATAAACAAAACAAAAAAAAATACATAAAAATCAAAAACCGAAAAGATAGAGTACCCATTTGCGAGGAGGAGGGCTCCAGTCCATGCCCAGAGGGAGAGGTGAAGTGCCGTCATGGCGGTACTTGGGAGGGCTACGACTGCGCCGGATGCTGCTTTTATTGTCATAATTGCCCCTGGCATCAGTAGCATCGTCATCGTTATGATGAGGGGCAGTTTCGGGCTCAGAATATAAAGGAGTACGGCGACGGGAGAAGGAATCGGAAAAGGTATCGGAGAAGCTGAAGTCGTTGAAGTCCATGAGAGAGAGGTCGTGCGCGTACAGATTCATTTTCGATTCGGTGATTGTGTTTGTGCTTGTATGTTTACTCTGAATGTGGATGGTTTGTTTGTAGATTGTGATTTGCAACAAGAACTTGATTTGATCTCCAAGTGTCTCTCAACAAATAATTTTGGGCCTTCAATCAAACAATATGACATAACAAAAGAACAAAAGAAAAAAAGAAAAAAAGAAAAAACTGGAATGATAAGGAAGATGCCTTTTTTATATTTTTAATGAGAAAAATGGAGGCCTTTTTAAACTTGTGGTTATTTCTTTAATTAAAATTTGAGTAATTTTTAGCGATTGTGTCACCTTGCCAAGGTTAGTATAAATATAATCATTCACATTCACTTATGTTATAACTTAGTACCCGTTTGGCATTGTTTATTTGAGGTGATAAGTGATTTTTTAAAAATTTTGGGAAGTCCAGTCCGTTTGGTAACCTAAGATAAAATCACTCATTATTAAAAATTGATGTGGGAGAAAGCAACAAAGGAAAGCAATAAAGGAAAGCAGGTAATGAGCTGCTTTCAATTTTTGATTATGCGGTAATCAGATTTGAGGAAGTACTGGGTTTAATGAAAATTATAAAATTCCAAAAATACCCCAATATGATTTCACGCTCTCCTCTTCTTTGTGCGTCTTCTCTATCCCATGCTGCAGAGCACTCTTCTCCTTCTCTTCCATTCTTCCTCCATTTTTTCTCTTGTTTGATCAATTGAAGCACACTCCTAAGAAACCACAAGACTCAAGTAAGAGGCATATTGTGTTTATTTCTTTTCAATTTCATTTTTCCCTATTTCTCTTTAATTTTTAGAGTTTTTAAGTATCAATTGTTGTTGTTGTTGGTTTTCTATTATGATGGTTGTGTTCTTAAGTATCGATTCTTCTTGTTGTTGGTTTTCTATTATGATGTTGAAGCCAGCTTCTTCTATGCCCGGGCTCCAGAGACACATCAAATTGACCCAGCTGGCCATTGCTGGTTCACTGGTTCTAGACTTCACGGGATTAATTTTTCTTTCCAGATATTCAAAAAAATAATTGTAAAGTGTCGAAATAATTAAAGAGATATAAAATGTCACGCCCCTGGAGGCCGGAGTTGAATCCAAGGGATTATGGGTGGTCTGAAAACTCTGATATTTTGATCTGGTTATAGGGAAATGGTTGTTTTGTTCATACCTGGTTTTTTTTCCTTTTCTGGTCAATAGTTCATCCTTTTCTGGTCACTGTTTAAGCTTTTAGAGGTTCCCAACCAAATCTGTTCATATCTTAATGAGAGCTTAATGACGTGCCCAATTTAACATGGCACAATTCCATTTTCTCCTTCTAAACACATTTTTAGTTTTCCATTTGTTGGTTTTTATTTGTTTATTTTTTTATGTTCCTATTTTTTTTTCTTTGTTGCTGGATCTAATGCAAGTTTTGTTTTTGTTACAACTGAGGTCTAGCATAAATTTCTGTATTGATATTTTATTGATCTGTATCATTTTGGCTTTCTGCTTATTTGTACAAGTAAGCTCCTATCATTGCATTTGAATGTTGCTAAGAGTATTGTGGGAGCATATATTTTCGTCTCCAATCAGAGCACGCCACGTGGAAAAGAAGATTATCTCTTAAATTAATTAATTGAACCAGTGTATCTGGCCAATTAATTAATTGGGATAAATATCTTAATTAATGGGATATTATCTTTATTTAATAAGATAATACCATTAATTTAGATATTATCCTAATAAAGAGAAGATAATATCATTAATTCAGATATTATCTTCATAAAAAGAGATAATATCATTTAATTCAAATATTATCTTCAATAAAGAGAAGATAATATCATTAAATCAGATATTATCTAAGTCCGACTCGATCCCTACGAATTTGGGTAGAGAATAAACTCAGCATATTCTCTACGAAACCCTAGCCCCGAGGCTCTTATAAATAGACGACCTCATTCATCATTCAAGGTACATCTAAACCTACTCCTAATACCCGAGAAAAATACCCGAAGCTCTCTCTCCCTCTCCACTCTCCACTCTCTATATTTTCTCCACACGACTCCGGCCACCACCCACGGCTCTGGCCACCCGGTTCACACCATACATAAACTCCGTACCCTTTGCTTAGCTATTGTTTTCCTACAAACACTCGAACTAACTTAGGCATCGGAGGGCCTTTGGCCAACACCCCTCGGGTGTGGTCTATTTACTCCAATCTTTTTTACATGAATCGAGGAAGAGAGAGAAAGAAGATCGAAGGTTGAAGGATCTAGAAGCGAATATTCTCCCGTGAGATTATTTGCACAAACAAATATCATTGATGCATATGAGGAATGGTGGCAAGATTTATGACTAGCTTAATTTTTGTTATATACATATTATTGACGATATATTTATTTTTAATGGAAACTTTATTTATTTTATAATTAAATTAAAATTTAGGGTGTGATGGATGCTTTTCTTTTTACCAAACACTTGAAGAGAAAATTCATTCAGCATAATGCCCTTTTTAGTCATTATACAACCCACAGCATTTCAACAAGAAAAATTTACCAAACACTCCGAAACTGATTATTGTACAAACATCACTTAGAAAAAAAAGTTTACCAAACGCCAAACTGATTTCTCTCACAGCTGATTTCTCTCACAGCAAATCTGACAGCAATTATTCTCACAGCACAGCAATGCCAAACTAGCCCTTAAAGTTAGTCACTCACCCATATTATTATTTGAGTGGGGCTATTTCCACACATCTATTCTATTTTAAAAACAAATTTATTCATTTGTAAAATGACTTGCTTAAGTTAAAAAACGCACCTATTCTCCATCATCCTTGTCAAACCCCAACCCCTTCTCTCTCATCTCGACCAAACCCAAATCAAAATTCCAATAAAGCTTCAAAATTTCCAACTGGGTCCAATCCAATTCCATCAAATTTCTCCTCAGTTTCTGAACCAAAAGGCAAAAGCCTTTTGTTCCATTTTCTCAGTTTGCTCTTTGTCTTCTTTCTAATTCTGGCATTTCTCTCCGTTATTGTCATGCCCCGGACCCGGAGGTCGGCAAAAACCCTGTACCCGGTGCTTGAGAAAATAAAAAATAAAAAGAAATCGAAACATGAGTTTAAAATAAACTTCTCTTATAAAAATAGATCCAAAATCTGAAATAAATAAACAAAGCTCTACTACTCTCATCTAATTCAGCCTCAACTTTTTTATTATTAGTCTAAAAGGTGAGGGGTGAGGAACCACAGCTCAGTAGGGACATAAGACCTTACCACAATAGATTGATGTAACTAAATTAAGTGACATGTAATCACACAGCCAAATATGACATTAATAATAATAATAATGCATGAATGAATGCTATTCATCTAATCCCGTTAATTCATATAACTAGACAAGCAAACCAGCACGTCCCATACCATGCTTATACCACTTGATCCCGAATGCCCATTTATATGAACTAACACACATTTCAATCATCCCACAATTCTCATTTTGTTAGTCATCTTGTCTAACTCCCTTTCACCAATCCCAAATCACCCAATAAAAATCATGTGTACTGTGGGATCCCTGAGACCTGCTACCTGCCAAGAGTTAGACTTAACTACACGAAAGACTATTTCCATTACCCTCTTTTCCATCATTATTTTCTCAATCCAACAACTCCAACGATGATATAATTATGCCTTTCATGTATCTCACAATAATGTAACATTTAAACATCATCAATGTACATATAATCATATCACGCATAATATAGTGCTCACAAAATTTAATCAGATCAATCTCTATAAAAGGCCCTCAATAAACCCCTACCTCGATTCTAAAGCATTTCTCCAAGTTAAGAAAATACAAGCTAAGACATGTACTCCTCCAAGAACTATATCACAACTAGCCCTCTCTCTCCTCTGTCTCTTCTGTCTGTCTGTCTGTCTGTCTCTCTCTCTCTCTCTCTCTCTCTCTCTCTCTCTCTCTCTCTCTCTCTCTCTCTCTCTCTTATCCAAAAGATAAATATCCTAACAATATAAGATCATCCAAGTTTATCTAAAAGATAAATATCTTAAAAAGATAATATCGTCTAAGTTTATCCAAAAGATAAATATTTTCTTTTATCTATTTAAAATACGGGTCTTCACAATTATTGTTTTACCATGACCCATTTCATTAAAACTCAAGCAATCCATCACATCCAGATCAAAATCCAACAAAGCTTCAGAATTTCCAACTGGGTCTAATGAAATTCAGCATTGTTAGAGTTTGAGTGGGACAATAGTTTCCTACACTCTTTATAAGAGTAGGGATCTTTCACTATAATAAACACAATTGGGTTTTTCTGAAGTAGGCTTTAGACTTGTTGGCCTTATTTAAATTCAATATATATTTTATATATTTAAGTTTTTTTAACTTCGGATAACTTTTGTTAGTTTGAAATTCAAGGTTCAAACATATCTGTTTGAACATATATGTGCAAGGGGTGTCTTAGGCTTATTTAAATAGCCAAACGTACAGAGAACAAAATGAACTTTGAAACCCAATACATCTCACACAACACTGAAAACCATTGAGAGTACCTATACTGTAGTTAGCTAGATACCAAAATTCAAGTGCTAGAATTTTGGTTTCGATAGTTGTATCCTGGTGGACAGTCGTCTACAGAACCACAAGCACAAGAGTAGGGGCGAAATACTGTCTAAGGACATAGCAAATCTGCTAGCCTCTATCATCTCTACAAGTTAGTATTTCTGGTTAATACAAACTCTTGTATCTGTAATTTTCTGTTGTCATATATTGATTCATTTAAAAGCCTTATATATATATATATATTCTGTTATATTATACAAGTTATTGATTGTTTCCAACAATCTTATATAGTAATCAATGGAACAATTAGGGAAGAACTCTCATTCCGAGAAGCCTCAAAAATTCAAGGGAGAGGATTTCAAACGTTGGCAGTAGAAAATGTTGTTTTATTTAACAACATTGAATTTGGCTAATGTTGTGATAGAGACTATACCTAAGGCAAAAGGAGACAATATTCCTGCAAAGACTTTAAATGTAATTTCTGCTTGGCAACACAATGATTCCTCTGCAGAAATTACATTCTCAATGCCTTGGATGATTCGTTGTATGATGTATATGCAGTATTCACAACAACTAAAGAACTTTGGGAGTCATTGGAGAAGAAATATAAAACAGAAGATGTAGGGTCAAAGAAATTTGTTGTTGGCAAATTTCCATACTTCAAAATGATGGACTCTAAGCCTGTTGTCAATCAAGTGGAAGACCTCCAAAAGATCATTCATGATATTCTTGCAGAAGGCATGAAAATAAGTGATTCTTTCCAAGTGGCATCTATTATAGAAAAACTCCTCCACCTTGGAAAAACTTTAAGAGTTATCTCAAGCATAAAGGAAAGGCGATGATTCTTGAAGATTTGATTTAAGGCTGCAGATTGAAGAGGACAACAGAATAAGTGAGAAGAAAGGAGTGGTTTCAAACATGGAAGCCAAGGCAAATATAATTGAGAGCAATCCTTCAAAGCAGAAATTTGATTCCCAAAAAAATAAGAAGTCTACAAAGAATTTTGTACCAAGGGCTAAAGGGAAGGATTTCAAGAGGATAAAAGGAGGTTGTTGGGTTTGTGGGAAACCAGGTCATACAGCACAGGAATATCGCCATAGAAGGGACGACAATCCTACGAATTCAAACAACCAGCGCAGGAACAATCAAGCAAATGTTGCATAAGCAAAGATGCATTGGCTACAATAGTTTCTGAGACAAATATGGTCTCAGATTTTTCTGATTGGTGGATAGACACTGGAGCCACTCGCCATATTTGTAGTGATAGAGCAATGTTCTCTACTTACCAGAAAATAGATGGTGATGAGCACTTATACATGGGAAATTCTTCTGCATCTACAGTAATGGGAAAGGGCAAAGTGTTTCTGAAGTTTACCTCTGGAAAAGAACTAACCTTCCTAGATGTGCTACATGTGCCAGAAATTCGAGAGAATTTGGTTTCTGGTCCAATTCTTAGCAATAAGGGATTCAAACTAGTGTTTGAGTCTAACAAATTTGTATTGACTAAGGGGGGAATGTTTATAGGCAAAGGATATCTTGCTGATGGATTGTTTAAACTCAATGTATCTGCCAATCTTATTAATAATAATATGAATAAGGCTTTTGTTTATATTGTTGACTCATCTAGTTTATGGCATGCTAGATTAGGTCATGTGAATTTTCGTTCTTTATATAGGATGTGTAATTTGGGTTTGCTACCCAAGTTTGGTTTTATTTCAAACAATAAATGTGAAACTTGTACAGAGTCAAAATTTGCAAGACAAACCTTTAATTTTGTACCTAAAAAGTCTAATGAGTTGTTGGGATTAATTCATAGTGATTTGTGTGCTTTTAGATCAACTTCTACACGTGGTGGGAAAAAATATTACATAACATTTATAGACGATTGCAGTAAATTCTATTATGTATATTTAATACATAGCAAGGATGAAGCCCTGGATATGTTTAAGACATATAAGGCAGAAGTTGAAAATCAACTTAACAGAAAAATAAAAATATTAAGGTAAGATAGAGGAGGGGAATATGAATCCACTACCTTTGCTGAATTCTGTGCATTACATGGAATTGTTCATCAAACAACAACACCATACACACCACAACAGAATGGTGTTGCTGAAAGAAAAAATAGAACATTTAAAGATATGATAAATTCCATGTTAAACAATTCAGGGGCTCCACACAATTTGTGGGGTGAAGCCCTGCTTACTGCAAATGTGATATTGAATCGAATCCCACAAAAGAAGACTAATAAATGTCCATATGAAATTTGGAAAGGGAGATTGCCCACTTATAAAATTTTGAAAGTGTAGGGTTGCCTAGCAAAAGTACATATCTCTTTGCCAAAACGAACCAAACTTGGACCAAAAACAATGGACTGTGTTTTTATTGGTTTAGCATCTAATAGTGCTGCATATAGATTTTTAGTTTTTAAATATGAGGTTTCAGACATACATGCAAACACTATCTTAGAATCTGTTGATGTTGTATTTTATGATCCATATAAACAAGATAGGTCCTTTACAAGAAAAAAGAGACCAAGTGATTACCATTCAAAAGAGAATGATGATGTTGTTAATCCAACTTCATCTAGTTTGTTTGTTGTAGGGGTCTTTTTATTCTAGCAGCCTAACGAATGGGCTTAGGCTACCGAAAAAGAGACAAGTGAAGCTGTCCCTGTGTCTGAGTTCAAGGATCAGGCCCCAAGAGTGTTTCGAAAGGGTAGCTGAGCCTTATGAAACACTTTGGTCTTCTTCACCAATGAAACCAACAGTCGCTTACAGATAAATTCTTGGCTTTGCATGAGAAGCTTGTGGCATGGAACCTGAGCATTCATGAGTTTAGCATGAGAGAGAGAAATAATTGCGATTTTCAGAAGAAAATATGGGAGGAGATGGACCAATATGGCTCGAAATTGCAGGGGTTTCAGGGATAAGAGATGATGATTGCTCTTTGGATGTGTGTTTATGGAAAGAGAAGAAGAAGACAGAAGCATTGGTGGCTTTAGCATATTTCCAGCAGCTTGATGAAAGCTTCATCAAGCTCCTGGGTGATTTGATAGAAGAGAAAATAGGAAGCAATGGAAGAATAAGGCTTGAAATCAAAGGGTCCCAGAGATGAGAGATGATGCTTGTTCTCTCTGGATGTAGGTTTTGAAAGATATAAAGGAGGAAGATGGAAGAACAAAGCATGAAATTGAAGGGTTCCAGAGGGGATGCTTGCCTTTGATGAATTCTCATGGTTGCTAGGAGGCTTGCAGCAACCAAGGTGAGTTGTCTTTGCTGGGTAGAAAGTGGCTCCTTTTATAGGCACTGAAAACCTTAATTTTATCAAGCCACCCTCTCCCTTTTTCCTTCACTTTCTTCCATTCCATCTTATTTGGTGAAACTTCCTTAGCCTGAGCATGTAGGCATGAAGCTTTTTGGAGTTCCAAGGTCCTCAGGTAGCTGGACTTCTCCATGTGGGTGAGGAGTCACCCACTTTTGCTTCTTGTTTTCTCACCAAAGCTTGAAAAGGAAAGAATGGGTATGGGTGCTAGTCAAAAGGTGATCAGCACATGGGTTTGCTTGGTTTTGATGGTTTTGACAGATATGCTGGATATTTTCCATGATGCTGGGTTGGGCTATTGGTATCTTGTTTCCAGCGGCCCATGAGTTTGCTCAAGTTGCTGGAAACAACCTATTTGATCAAGGTGCTGGATATTTTGGCTGATGTGGGATTTTTCCAAGTGTTTGTAAGCCATTGGATATTTTCCTAAGCTATTGGGCCACTCATTCTCTCTCAGACTTACCCATATGTTTGGGCTCAAGAAATGGGCTCGAGTTTTGGTGCTCCGAAGTAGCCTAAAACTTCCACTTATTTGCCCATTAATGGGTCTCGTGAATGCTCGTAACCATCCATACCACAACCCGCTCAGCAAGCCCCAAGCATTTGCATGGCTTAGGCCCACTTAAGCTTGTAGCGTGGCATGTTGCTTAAATAAGGATTTTCCACTAGGTGTTGTACTGGGCCGAAAATATATTTGGGCGCTTTGGATTTTTTGGGCCTCAACATCTGCAAATGAGGCAGAGCCTGGAAGAAGCAAAAGAACTAAGGTTCCAAAGGATTATGAACGAGATTTCTTGACATTTATGATTGAAACTGAGCCACAAACTTATAAAGAGGCCATGTCTAGTCCAGAAGCTCCTTTTTGGAAGGAAGCAATCAACAGTGAAGTTGAATCCATTTTACAAAATAATACATGGGAATTGGTGAACTTGCCCCTGGTAACAAACCAATTGGGTATCAGTGGATTTTCAAGAAGAAATTGAAACCTGATGGTACAATTAATAAATATAAAGCTTGTTTAGTAGTAAAAGGTTATCGTCAAAAAGAAGGGTTGGATTTCTTTGACACCTATTCTCCTGTAACAAGAATAACATCTATACGAATGTTGATTGCTATAGCTGCAATTTATAACATGAAAATACATCAAATGGATGTAAAACTACATTTCTAAATGGAGACTTAGAAGAAGAAATATATGTGGAGCAACCAGAAGGTTTCGTGGTTGAAGGTCAAGAAAATAAAGTATGTAAGCTTGTCAAATCCTTGTATGGATTAAAACAAGCACCCAAGCAGTGGCTTCAAAAATTTGATCATACTATGCTGAAACATGGTTTCAAAATAAATGAATGTGACAAATGTGTTTACATTAAAACACATAACAATGCATGTGCCATAGTATGTTTGTATGTGGATGATATGCTCATCATGGGAACTAATAAGGATATAATTAATTCAACAAAGAAAATATTATATTCAAGCTTTGATATGAAAGACTTGGGTCTTGCTGATGTGATTCTTGGTATACAAGTCAAGAGAAATTCAAATGGCTATATCCTTTCACAATCTCACTATATAGAGACAACATTACGAAGGTTTGGTCAATATGATTGCAAACATGCTGTTACGCCATTTGATGCCAACTGCAAACTAAAATAACATGTTGGAGATGCTATATCACAATGTGAATATTCCCAAGTTATTGGGAGTTTAATGTACATTATGAATTGTACAAGACCTAATATAGCATATTCAGTGAGTCGGCTGAGTAGGTATACTAGCAATCCAGGATATGATCATTGGTATGCCTTAATTAGAGTGTTAAGGTATTTAAAATACACTTTGAATCATGGATTGCATTATACTAAATATCCTCCAGTATTGGAAGGATATAGTGATGCTAACTGGATCTCCGACAATACTGAAACTAAATCCACAAGTGGATATGTGTTTACATTAGGAGGAGCAGCAGTGTCTTGGAAATCTTCTAAGCAAACATGCATAGCCCGATCGACAATGGAATCAAAATTTATTGCCTTAGACAAGGCAAGAGAAAAAGCAGAATGGCTAAGGAATTTTTTAGAAGATATTCCGATATGGCCTAAGCCTGTAACAGCAATCTGTATACATTGTGATAGTACAACAGCTCAATCAAGAGCTAAAAACAGTGTATACAATGGAAAGTCTAGGTATATTAGATGAAGGCATAATACAATAAAGCAATTGCTCTCTAGTGGAATAATTTCCATTGACTATATAAAGTCAAAAGAGAATCTTGCGGATCCGCTTACTAAAGGTTTATCAAGAGAGCAAATAAAATTTACATCGAGGGGAATGGGGCTACAGCCAATAGAATAAATGATTTAGCCTGATGGAAACCTAACCTAGCTTATTGGAGATCTCATGGTCTAGGTTCAATAGGCAAACTAGTTAGGTATAAATCAAGTCGTTGACACGTTATATGCCGCATTCCTATGGTGGAAGAGTGTGTTGTCTGCTGAAGTTTTTTAGGGTACTTATGTTTAATGACACTAATGACTTGTATTTAAGGGGAATATGGTAGACTATTCCCAAGTTTGTGTCACCTATATGAGAGTAAATGTGGGGTCGCATTTATGAGAATTATATGGCTACATTCTCTAAAGCTCTCATGAATCCAGGATCTGTTCATGACCAAAATGAACACAAATGTATGAACGCACAGTGTGCCTAGATGTGGCATATGTGATACTTGTTGTCTTGGTATACTGGTTTGGTGAACAGTTCAAGATTGGATATCCACTGCGTCACCTTGTATATCCGATAAGTATTCACTAAGGTAGGTTCAAGTCCAAAAGACACATCTCCTGATGTATGTTACATCTAACGCGTATTTTCAGTGGTTACACATAGACTTACTTTTCCCACTCAAATGTGGGATATTGTTAGAGTTTGAGTGGGAAAAGAGCTTCCTACACTCTTATAAGAGTAGGGATCTTTCATTATAATAAACACAATTAGGTTTTTCTGAAGTGGGCTTTGGACTTGTTGGCCTTATTTAAATTAAATATATATTTTTATATATTTAAGTTTTTTAAACTTCGGATAACTTCCGTTAGTTTGAAATTCAAAGTTTAGACAGACATATATGTCCAAGGGGTGTCTTAGGCTTATTTAAATAGCCAAATGTACAGAGAACAAAACGAACTTTGAAACCCAATACATCTCACACAACACTGAAAACTCTTGAGAGTACCCATACTGTAGTTCGCCAGATACCAAAATTCAAGTGCTAGAATTTGGTTTGATAGTTGTATCCTGGTGGACAGTCGTGTGCAGCACAGTAGTGGGGGCGAAATACTGTCTAAGGACATAGCAAATCTGCTAGCCTCTATCATCTCTGCAAGTTAGTATTTCTGGTTAATACAAACTCTTGTATCTGTAATTTTCTGCTGTCATATATTGATTCATTTAAAACCCTTATATATATATTTATATATATATATATTCTGTTATATTATACAAGTGACTGATTCTTTCCAACAAGCATCTTTTGCCAAAATCTCCAAAGATAACACATTCAGTAAATATGATGCACGCAAAATCTGACTTGAATATAACAAGCTTGGCACCTCAAGTTGAACAAATGATAATCTGTGCAAATCTTCCATACCCGTTATAGTTTCTGGCATTGATGAAGATAGGGCTTCGAGAGAAGAGAAAAGGTTGAAGCTACCCACAAGGAAAATATATCAATAAATCCATATCAAAGAGTAAAATCCTCTGAAGTTGCAACAAATGCTTACTGGAAGATTTTGTTTTTTATTTTATTATTATTATTTATGTTTTCACATATTCTTTTTCTTGGGATTGAGGATTCTGAAGATTGAATTTTGTTGTAAGAAAACTAAAGAAAAGAAAATACTGGATTTTGTTTTTCATTCAGTGGAGAGAGAGATGAACATTTAGAGCAATTTTCTTTATCTTTTAATTATTTTTAATAAGACTTTACAGAGGATTTCCACGTGTTTTGATTGACAGGGATTGAAGGTTTGAAGTAGGGGTGGGCACGGTACGGTACGGTACGGTATTGAGCCCGTACTGCTACCGATACCGGAAATTTGAATCGGTATGGTACGGTACGGTATTATAGTTTGCCAAAATTGGTACCGTACCGTACCGTGTCAAATCGGTATTGGTACGGTATCGGTACCATTTCGGTACCAAAATGATACAACTAAAAAATGAACTAATTCAATATTCAACACCAAAATAAGTGATGCCTAAGTTACAAATTCAAAATTCAATATCCATCAACATTTTCAATATTCAATATCCATTAACATATTCAATATCCAAATCCTAATCAACATATTCAATATCCATCAACATATTCAATATCCAAATCAACCAAATCAATATTTATCCATCAACATATTCATCAAATCCAAATGGTTAAAACTCATGCATTATGGCTTACAAACCAAAAGAGTTAAACTTATGCCTTATGGCTTACAAAAATACAAACACAATCCAAACATAAATGACAAAAGCGTTTGAGAAATTGAAAGGCAAGCGAGAGACAGAGAGCGAGAGAATGAAAAAAAAATTTATATTTCAATAGAGTACTATTCGGTACGGTACGGTATTGACCGGTATCAAAATCTTGATACCGCTACCATACCATACTCGATTGGTACGGTACGGTACGGTACCGAATATCTATCGGTACCAAATGAAACGGTATGAAATCAGTACGGTACGGTGCGGTTAGGGTACGGTTTCGGTATTTCGGTTTAAGATGCCCACCCCTAGTT